GCGAAGTCGAGCACTTTACGGTAGCACAGTTTAACGAGGACCAATACCGCACACCCTCGGTCCCTACGCAGACTGATCCAAGTGGTCACCCACCCGCACACTGACCGCAGCCAGTGATGCTTGACTTCGGTGATCTGCTGGGAACCGTGTCTTAACGATCAGTCCACTGCGGGAGAAGTTAATTTGGCATGTCTTATATAAGGAAATTTCAATAAGTTTAATAACTTAGAAGATTTTTCTGTGAGAAGTAAAAAATATTTTTGAATACTATTATTATGTTGAATGCTAAGATAATCTGGAATAATTTATTAAAATAAAAATAATTTATTTGAGTTAGAGACATGCGTTTAGAATTCAAGCAATTGTTCGGGATCAGATCTGAACCATGTTATCAACCTATATCATTAGAGTAACGTGAAAGCTTTGGCTACTTTGTTCTAATATTATATAATAAAACTAATGTATAAATATTGTTGATATTAAAGTACGCTATAGTTTAATTTAGAAGAACTAGTATAAAATTTATCTTCAAATTTTCATAAACTGTTGTGCAAAATGAAAAAATGTATTGAATAGAAAAACAAATGTTGAGTTTTTAGTTTTTTTGTCCATCATGTGGGGGAATGAAAACTGTAAAGAAACAATCGCTAGGGCATCTCGGAGTCTAGAATTTTTTTTAGTGTTGTAGTTTCTAATGAGACTTGAACAAGTCAAGCTAGGCAGCCATGAATCTGAAGCGGAAGGACATTTTCTTCAGATCCATGTACCCGTGGCACTGTTCAACAACAGACCACAACACGTCGATTCCACAGATTTTGAGAGCACGTATATCACATGAACTCGGTGGGTCTTAGTGGAGTTGAGGATCGATTCTCGGCCCATCAGATTCTTTAACCTCAAGGTAACCATGGCCAAAGGGATTTTTTTTATTTAATAGAACTAATTTAAGACAAAAAAAACTTAAATTGTAAACTTTTTTGACATTTAAATGGGTTCTTTTAATAAAAAAATACTTATATTAAACTTTTAAGAGTGCATCCTTTAAAAATATGTTTAACTTAATCTATTCTAATAACATTTAAACATAATCATGATAAAATGTTACTAATATATTTGTTTCGAAATAAAAATGGCTACTTACACAGGTAATAGATAGTTGATTTCGATGTCTTCCAAGGACACGCAATGCGCATGCTCCGTGTGCTGAATGGAAGCACTTGCTATTTCTGGTTTTCCTACGGGGCTTTCAAAAGTGAGAAGAAACTTGTGCGTCTGCCACTCTTCCAGCAAGTTGATACTAAAATGAATTTTTCGAAGATTTCATTCAAAATATTAGCGCTGATTATTTGTAATTATTAGCAGAGTTAGGATCTTGACGACCTTCTTAAAAATTATCCTTAACAAAGGCAAAAAACAAATTAAAAAATGTTCTTAAAATGTTTCAAAAACATGTTTTATATTAGCTTTTTTATTAAAAAAAATATTCGTAATTAGCGTTTATACATTTAATAAAATATTAATTGAAAAAATGCAATTTACGGGTAAAAAAACGTAAAAAACCTGATAAAGATTTATAATTGTTCTTCAAAATGACCAAAAGCAAATTCTAATAACATGAAAAAATCTAGTCAACACCATATATGGAAACGTTACTTTTAAAAAGTAACGAGTAAAAGTACAAGTATTTTTAAAAAAAAGTAACGAGTAAAAAGCAAAAAGTTCTTATTTTGAAAAGTAACGGGTAAAAAGTACAAGTAAAAGTACAAGTACTAAACAAAAAAAGTAACGATTTAAAAGTACATTTCTAGGAAATCGAAAATTCAAAGTAACCTAAAATTTTATTGAATAATATTCTTATGTTCTTTAATGTTTTTGCAAAATTGTTGTTATTTATTTAATTATTTTTAATTTTGAAAGTTATGGACATTAATTTATTTTTAAATTCGGAAGAATATTATAATATAATTTTATAATATAATCGTATAATATAATTTTAAAATCAAATATAATTTTAATATCAAACTTTTTATGGATTTGCACGAAAAAGAAATTTTATCTATTGATTTTAATTTTTAGTTTATTATTTTTATTTATTTAAATTACCATTGATTTAAAATTGTTTTACTCTATAGAAACGCGTTTTAAAAGCACAAACATAAACAAAGCAAACACGGGGTTTCAGATAGCTTTGTGATCTTTGAGCTAGTAAAAAATAATTGAATGTGCAGTATAAGTTGAAACAGAACAGTCTACAGTTTTATTTGTAACAATGGCTAATGCTGAAGTCATGCGAGAAAATCATTTTCCGAACATTTCTGCCTAACGGAATAATTAAAATTTGTAAACGAATTTTAGTATCAGCGGCTAAATTAATACCTTCGAGTTTTCAAGAGTTAAAATAGTAATTATAATAGTTTTCAGTAGCACAAATAGTTCTGAAGTTCTTAGAGATTTGACTGGGCGTTGTTTGACAAGGTCGGGCATAAACATAATTTTAGTAAAAAATGTACTAGGTAAAAATGTATTTAGTAAAAAATGTATTAAGACAAAAATGTATTATTAGTGAGTTCAAAAAGAAAATTGAAAAACGTAATAACAAAATCCAACATTTTTTATTTAAAATGTATTAAATAAATGCATAAAACTCGAAAATGAATGAAAATAACTTGCTAATTAATATTTTTATTCATTTTGCAAAATAATTGCATTTCCAAAGCATTTTGTTTTTTTTTTTTTTTTTTAGAAAGCTTACCGAGTTTTAGAAAAAAGTAACGATTTCATTCGACATTTCCGTTACAAATACTTGTACTTTTTCCCTAAAAAAGTAACGAAAGTACAAGTAAAAGTACTAAATTTATAAAGTAACGAAGTACAAGTAAAAGTACGTACTTTTTACTTGCACCGGCGGTACAAGTAACGAAAGTAAAAGTACCGCCATACATGGTCAACACCAATTCTTGTTTTTAGAATAATTATTAAAAAAATTAGATTTAATGCAAAATTCCCACTGATTAACACCCTTGAATTAATAAAACAAAATTTTAATTCCGAAGGAAAATGCTCTTAAAATTGAAAATATCGTTAAAAATTCTTAAGAAATGAAGGGAAAAAATATAAAATGTGAGAAAAAAAAATCACAAAAAATTATCACCCCATAAAGGCAAAAACAACGAAAAATGAAAAAAAAGAACGCTTTTGTTTTCAGCCTATCACTTATTACTATGGATAATTAAAAGAATAAATGAAGAATAACTATGGATATTTAAAAGAAGGAATTAAGAGAAACAAATTTTGCGTCATATCTTTCTTTCTTCTAACTCTTTCATCAAATTGACACAAAAATTAAATTTAGCAATACTTAATTGAAGTCTTCACTTTCAATATTGTTAAATTGTTATTATAGAGAATGTTCTAAAAGTGATACGAAAATTGTTTTAAAAATCATCCAACTGATTGAATTTAAGGAAAACTCAATATTATTACTCTCAATATCTTCATATATAATTAATTTTAATATTATATCTTTCAAAAAACTCTTCTAAAGGACTGATACTAAAATAATTTTAAATAAACAGGACTGAATTTTAAAAAATAAGTCTGATGAAGCATCAATGATTAACAGCCGACGTTATGATTAACAGCCGACGTTAAACAGCCGAAACCAAACTCTGAATTTAAGTGCAACTCCGTAGCCTTGTAATTTTCATCTGTTGTATTTTTTATTTGAAAACAACGAAATTTCTGGATCAAATATTGAGCCAAACTAGCTTTCGTAGAAGTTTTTTTTGTAGAACTAACATTTGCTTTACATGGAGACGAAAACCTCCCATGGTTAGTCCTACGACAAGAGGACTCATGATTCGTCTACCATTGAAAGCGTTTTACGCCAACATTATGATTGGTACGAGCCTGGAATAGAATTCAATCAACCAACCATCACTGGGATTTGAACCTGGGTCACCAGAGTGATAGACGAACATTCTATACCATGAGCTACCTCGGTTCCAGGAACACAGGATTTTATATCCGTCGTTGAACAGCCAACTCAGTGTTCAACTCCGTAGTCTTGTAATTTTGAACCAAACCAGAAGACAAGGAAACTCCTGGATCAGTACCCTCAGAGGTACTTATTTATTATGGGAACATAAAGGACATTGCGACTCGACAGATTTAACATGCATCAGTCACAACTTACTATACGGGGAGTCTTCGGCCGGTGGGGATCGAACCCACGAACTCTTGAACATTGGCCCATTACCCTACCAAGCTATCCCGGCCTCTGGAACACAGGATTAAAAACATCAAAACCTGTTTGGTTGCACAAAGAAATTAAGAAAAGGTTAAAAGCTGTTATTTATAATATGCACTAGTTTTTTTCGGCAATCGAATAGGATTCTGTATTACTTATTATCTTCCACAATCGATTACTTTCAGCAGGTTTAGATAGACAATAGACAGATTTGGATAATATTTAAGTTTTCTTTGTGTGACTTTAATATTAATTTGCACCTAATAAAGTGTTCTTTTTATTAACCTTCTTTGAGTAATAAATATTAAGGGTGGTTATTTCATAACACCCCATGTATCGATTAATAATTAAATTGTGTCATGTGACTTACCTTATTTTCAAATGCTCTTGAAAACTGTTCCTTGCTTTTAATTTCAAATTCAGCACAGCATCGACTGTTTCATAAGTCTTGTGTTCACTGTTCACTTCCAAATGAACTATGACTTGATACTGATGCACTATAATAAACGTAACATAATAAACGTTTGCTGATTGATGCGTTTAATGATACTAATGTGTTTAATTCGCATTAATTATCTGCAATATTCATTTATTTGTATTTTTTCATAGTACTCAATAGGCTATTTTTATTATCACCGATATTAAACAGGCAATCTTTATTCAATTAGCAGCTGCCCATGTCAAATTTCATAGCCTCATAACTTTGATCCTATCCCAAAAGACATGGAACTAGTATTTGGAATAAACTCGTTAACTTTTGAAGTTATATGACGGAACTAATATGGATTTGCGTTACATAAAAACAGGGTCTGTCCAGGCCAAATTTACTACCGTTTAGTTGGTTTAGTGGTATCTTCACAAATTCAACTTTGGGAAAAACGGTCGTTTCACAAAATACTTTTTCTTAAAATTTTATTTTTGTATCTCGTAAGAAACGATAAATCCATACTTTTTGTGTTGATTTTTTAATGTAATTTTTAATTTTCACAAATTATGTGTAAATTTTCAGAAAATAGGTACCTTTCAGAAAAACCTAGACAGACCCCTGAAAAAGGAAAACCAATAAACCACCCAGGAATATTACGGTGTTAAGAGGTTTCTAAACTATGATCGGTCTACCATTTAAATATTTAACGTCAGAGTAGAAAAAAAAGCTATTATTGATCTACTGTACTCAAAAATAGCTAAATCAAATAAAAAACAATAGTGAGTTCCTGGATAAAATAGCACAGAAAGTTATGGGTTAATGTTTTTGATCTTTTTTTTAAATTTAATGAAGTATATTTATTTATTTTAAAAAATATATAAGGCATTGTGTTTTATTCGTAGCTTTTTTTAATACAATTTATAAAAAAGGAAGATTCTCATGGGCCCCCTTTGTGCCAGGGGCTCCCGGGTACTGCGGGGTCTGCCCATGCGTAAAGACAGTACTGCTTAGAACTAATGAAATTAGAAATTGATTCTCAGCTGTCTTGGATATAACTATCAGAAATTATCTTCCCTTCTCTATGAAGTTAGCATTAGGATATATCTATGCAGTGGATATATTTATGAATTTCTCATAGATATATCCTAGGGCAGGGGTGGCGAACCTTTATACACCAACGTGCCATTTTTTCTAAGAAATTGTATAGAGAAATCACAGACGTGCCGTCAAATAATTTTGACTTCATGATTATTGGAAAAATAATAATACTAAATACTATCAACTCAAAACTCTTTATTTGCATTGAAACGAAAATACATTTTGCAATGTCTTAGTTATACACGTAATTCAACTTAAAGTAGCATCAGTGGGACTTCTGTTATTGCAGATTAAATGACAAATAAGTTATAGGTTGTAAGATATTGGTTTAAGCAGGACTGTTGATTTTTTTGCTAGTTATTTATTGCTAGCTTGTTTTTTATGGTTATTAATTGTTTTTTTAGCATTTTTTGTTAATTTTTTTATTAATAATTGTTTATTATTTTGTTTTTTTTTTTGTGAATTTTAATTTAATTGTTACATATGCTTCATAGTGTGTGACATTTGTGTAATAACAATTCATAGTGCAATAACAATTGTGATCGGTAGCGTGCCCAAAATATTGTGTCGCGTGCTTTAAATTGCACGGGTGCCATTGGTTCGCCATCCCTGTCCTAGGGCAAGTTAAAAATTAAAACAGAAAATGTAAAAACACGTGTTTCAAGCAGACTTAAATATAAGCTAATGTTAATCATAAAACACCAAAGACAAAAAATGTAAGGGTTATCCAAAATAACTTTCACTTGAAAACATTTTTTTTAGAAAAATAAAAAATACTTAGTTTCACTTATTTTTTCACAAAAATGATTATTAATCCGATTGTCGATAAGTTAACTTTGATATCAGTTTAATCCTTTTTAGGGCCGTATTTTTATAAAAATGTTATGTTAAAATATTTCGGGAATTGAGATTGATTTATAAAAAGAAATTAACTTAACTAATTACAATGAATTTATTTGATTTCCGAAACCATTGTTTTAAGGGGTAGAGATTTTTTAAAATTTCACTAACTTTTAAGAATTGGCTATAAACTTCAACTTTTGAGCTTATACCGAATATTTTATACCGAATCATATATTCAACTGAATTTAAAAAGTTGAGTTTATAACTTCAAATAAGCTTGATGAGAAATGATCAAATTAACGAACGCATAACGCACAAAAGATTAAATAAATTAATACCCTGTTAACCACAGTTCTTGACATAACGCAAACCTTTACTGCTGGACAAATTTAAGTAAACAGAGCAAATTATTGATTTTTTATTTTCTTTTCTGAAGTAATTTACTGATAGCAGCACAATTCATAAATGGGAAAATATCGTCTCAACGGCATTTAAAATTAATGGAGTTGGTGGGAAATAAACTTCCCACGACTGTCTAAATGGTTAAAAAAAATATCTCCTCGTAGCATACAAGAAATGACAGTCTTCCGACACAGAATTGCAGTTGAGCACTCTAGCTCGTCGGAAATTCGTCGAAACTTATATTGAGGGATCACACACACGCATAAAGACGAGTTAATAAGAGCATGAGAATACTATTTAACATATATATACTTACAACAATATGGCTTCTCCTCCCAAAGTTGTAGAAAATATCTAGTTTCGTGTTCCGCGGGTTCGCTGTACTGTCCCATTAATCGACATCTCTCACCGTTATATCCACAGTTACAGTGACCTTGGAGAAAAGCATCGTAACTGGAACATTCCACACCGACAAACAGACATTCAGTTGGAATTATAGACATAGAGAAGAACTCAGTGGCCCGCATGCGCTGGCATGATAACGTGTTTTTAAATGCTGGAAGGAAAGATTTCATGAGATATTCTCGCACAACCAAAGTATTTATAATAAATTTTGGTTTTTATATACATAAAAATCAGATGATGCATTCTCATTGGATAAATTTGGCCTGATAAATCACGTGGTATGATTCAGTTTTCTAACATGGAAGATACAAATTTTCAGGTTGTCATCCACATTAAGTAAATAAAAGTTAAAAAAGTATTTTTTATAGTAAAAAATTTTGTTTTCCCAAATTAAGGACCAGTAATATTTATTTATCATCCTTTTTTAGAATTCTCTACTATCAGCTTATTCGTATGGTTATTGTTAATAATAAAAACTGGGATTCCTTGGAATAAAAATAATTTTATTACCTTATCATGCAGTAGTTTATTAACATATTTAAATTGGTTACTGAATTTACTAACCGTTTTAACTTTTATATCATAGGCTTTGTGTAAAAACTATGTCCGTCCTAGGCAAATACATTCAACCAAAGTATTGAATACAAAATTATAAAACATTAATTGGAATTAATTTGTCGCACTGCTATATAAAAAGCTTTTTTTTTGAAAAATTTTAACTAAAATTTTCAAGTAACAAAAAGTTAAATAGGAATTTAAAATACAAAATTGCAGATGAAATTGCTATGGTTACCAGGCAAAATGATTATCCTCATAGAAGCGAAAGCTAAATCTGTGCTCATACATTACATTATGCATGAATTATATTCAACGAAGTCAAGCATCACTGGCTACGGTCAGTGTGCGGGTGGGTGACCACTTGGATCAGTCTGCGTAGGGACCAAGAGGGTGCGGTATTGGTCCTCGTTAAACTGCTCTACCGTAAATTGCTCGACTTCGCGCTCAGTACGTAGAGCTACGGAAGCGGGGGTGCCATCCTCTTTGCAGAGGATCAAAATTGTGATGGCATGTCTTCGGATCATCCTCAGGGATGTTTCCCAGACCGCCGCCAATAGCCCATTGTGCAGCTCTAGTGCAACGTAAATAAACAACAACAGCATGAATTATATTATACATGAATCTTTGGATCTTTCAGTTGAGTCCCGCAGTGAACTGATCGTAAAGACACGGTTCCCAGTAAAACGCCGAAGTCAAGCATCACTGACTGCTATCAGTAAGCTGTTGGGTGACCACTTTTATCAGCCTGTGTAGGGACAAGGGAGAGCAGTACCGGTTAAACTGGTCAACCGGTAAGGGCCTGACTTCGAACGCATTTTGTCGGGCTACCAAAGCAGGAGAGCCATCCCCTCTTCAGAGGATCAAAATTGCGATGACATGCCTTCGGATCATACTCATGGATGTTTCCCAGACCGTCGCCAATAGCCCACGTGCAACTCTAGTGCGACGAAAACGAAGTACCTACCTACCTTTCAATTGCATACTTTAAAATTTTGATGCAAAAATCAGTTTATTGTCAAGAAATTGCATCGATTGTTAAGATTGATGAGTGAAGCGAGAAGAAGGTATAACCTACTAGTGTATGTAAGTACAATGTTCAATCGCGATTTCTAGATTTAACTAAGAAGAGGTCTTTCTTGCCGAGCACCAGTTCCTCATCTCTGCAGGGGGTTCGAATTCCACCGTTATTCCGGATGCATTTGATGGAATGTTTTTCTCTAATTTATGCAGGTCTGTTCTTCAACTTGATAAGGGCTTGTAAAACATATTTTGTAATGAGCAATAATTGTATTATGTGTGCGTAACACTAAATAGATGAACCAGAAACACACTCATCCATAAGGCATTCTAAAACCTTCAGCATTATAAATTGTTGCAAAAATGAAAACAAGATGTATGAATGAAAAACTTTCAGTCGATACAGCGTTTATTTTTAATCGTCAATTAATAAATAAGTATAAGGAAAAAAAATTATACAGGAATTCACTTCGAATGCTAAAAAAAAAAAAAGAGAGATCTAGTCTGTGTAAAAAAAGTAATATCATCAAATTCCCTTATTTGAATAATAGGGTTTTAGGTTGCAACTGTGTTTAGATCAACATATGGTCCATTTCAGTTAGCAGATGTCGATGAAATTGTCGGTGAAAGATGTGGATGAACCAGATGAGAAGATAAATATGAACCAAAAAATTTAGTTCAAATTTTAATTGCCAGGTAAGAAAACAAGTCGTTTAAAGAGAAAAACGCAAACGCACTTACAAATTCGAATTCACGTTTAAAATTCAGCTCAAATAAAGATTTATTACTATTCAACCACGACAAGTTGGTGTGTGCAAAGTGAGCCTAAAGCGAACCGGAAGAGTTTAATCTAGCAATGCATGGAAAGAAAGCATGGAAAGTCGAAGTGAAAGGAGGGTAGGTATTTTTTTACGCTTCCCAATGGGCTATTGGCGACAGTTTGGGAAACAACCTTGATGATGATCCAAAAGCATGTCATTCGAGTGTGTGAGGCCACTTCTTCTATTTTGGCATGGATCTGAAATCTCAGGAAAGTTTCTTCAGATCTCTGTACCAGTGGTACTGCTCAGCTACCAATCACAGGACGTTCGATTCTACAGATTATACGAACACGTATATTGGATGTACTCGGTGGATGTTAGCGGAGTCGAGGATCGAACCCAGTACCCCGAGGATCGGAGTCCGATTCTCTGACCACTGGAATACCACGGCCGGCCCTAAAGCATAAATGAAAAGTTATTACTATTCAAACACGACAAGTTGGCGGGTGCAAGTGAGCCTAAAGCGAACTGGTAGAGTTTATTCCAGCAATTTAGGGGAAGAAGGCATATAAAAACGAAGCGAAAGGGACACTGAGAGTGAATACAGACGATTTATTCGGCTTATTTTAGAAGGGGAAGGAATACAAAATCTAACTTATTTAAAGAGTTTTCCATGGTTGTGAACCTAAGATTCGAAATGATAAGCCAGTTTGGAAATCTCGCCAAAAATAAATAATAAACTTTTTTGCCCGATGAAAATATTTCTACAAAAATGGATGATAATAACAGCTTAAAACTTAAACAATGATAAAAATTCTACTTACATTCGAGCGGAAGAAGCTCGGTCAGGAGAGGGTTAATTGGAGCCAAAACTAAGCAGGAGTGTTGTTTCCCGCCATTTGGCCAAAAATTGACATCCCCCAAGTCTTCTGTTGTTCCTGAACCTATAACACAATTATAATTTTCTTAAAGCATTTTGAGAGAAGCACGTTATTTAGAGAAGAACACATCATTCACCTGTTAAGATGAGATTAGATTAGGTTTCTTTCTGATTGAAATTATGCTAAGTTTACAGAGTGGCCATAATTTAAGTAAAATTGTTTAAAGTTTGATAATGAGAAAACAGCTGAGTCAAACTCAATCTCATTTGCTGTAGACTATTAGGCCTTAAAAATCTGATTTTTAAAGGAAAGAAATATTCTTTCTTTGTTTTTCGCCTCCTAGGAACACTTGTAAGGCTATTTAATTAACGCAATAAGTTGAGTAAGCATAATTTTTTTCTTCTTTTCTGTTTTTGTTTTTAATTTATTCCGGTGGAATATTTTTGAAACTGAAGGTTGCAGGTACGTGCCTCGAAGTCAAAGAAAAACTTTAGGGCTTAAACTGATTTAGACGTCGAGAAACTTTAAGTATGCTTCGAGGTTAATTAAAAACGCATTGCTTACAGGTGAACAGCAAACAACAAGTACGTAATTGAAGTAGGACAAACATCAAATTAACTCGTACAACTCACTACTGTTCAGAGGAAATGTGGTTATATATATATATGTATTATATATTTATTTATTTATTTCTGAAAGAAAAAAATGTGTTTTTCGAAAATCATTTAGATTATCAATCATTAAATTTTTAAAATCTTTAGCAAAAAGGAAGCCTTGATTCCTATGCTTTAGTAGACGCGAATTCACATTTGAATCAAAAGAGAAAAACCCGATCTAAGTTTGACGAATTGATATCGAGGTCATTAAAAAAGTAAAATTGAAGTCATCAAAGCTTATCAAAATCTACTTTTTTTCCCCAGATGCTTCATTTAAGAATATAATGTTTTGCTTTTAATTCTTCTTTTGGTGTGATTGACTTCGATATTGATTCGCAAAATAGCAAAATATTGATATTGTTTATTTTTCCATTTAAATATTAGTTCGAGACACCTTACTCCATTTTTCAGAACAAAAACGCTCCGAAAGTGTATACAGAATGATGATTACAAAACATCATGCATGTGAATTTAAAAAAAAATAGATAATTTTTAAAAATTTAAGGTTGTTGCCGTTTTTTGACATTTTGTATAACATCTTCATACATATAATTTTCAAAAATGGATGGAATTTTATGTAAATTTCGAACTATGATAAAGATCAAAAATGAAGAAGAAAATAGAACACAAATGAAATAAAATTACTACATAACTTCGATTAAATTCCTTCCTGGGTTCGAACTTATGACGTCAACATAGAGAGCATCATTGCTTTCTAACTTAACTTCATTTTCTACACTTCGGAAGTACGGTCCAGATGGATCTAAGCCTAAAGAGAAAAAGTATTTTACGTGTTTATTAATTAATTAATTAAATTTGCAACTTAAAAACATTAAGCAGTGTTGGTAACTTGCTGGATAGTGTTCGATTTATAAACAATATAGTATTAAGAAATTAATATATGATTCTTGTAGACTCCAATAACTGATTGTGAAGGACTTTAATTGCTCATTGTAAAGGAGTCCAATCGATAATTGTTGAGAATTCCAATTACTGAGAGTACTATTGAAGAGTTTAGTTGGGGATTAAAATCAAGTCTCATTTGCTAATTGCTGAAGAATCTAATTGCAAATTGTTGTAAAGTCCAATAGCTGATTTATAAAAATTTCATCTAATTGTTAAAGAATTTAATTGTGATATGTTTAGAAATCTAATTGTTGAAGAGTATAATTGCTGCTTGCAGATTATTCCAATGACTTATTGTTAAGGAGTTTAGTTGCTAATTATTGATCAATAATTAGCAACTGAAGTTCAATAATTAATTGTTGAGGATTTCAATGACTAATTGTATAGGAGACCGGTTTCATTTTATTTTATAACCATCGTTGAACAGTCGACCCATTTTTTTGGGCTTACGATTACTAATGTTCAACTCCGTAGCCTTGTAATTTTGAACACAATCCAGAAGACAAGATAACTCCTGGATCAATTATTGGGAAATTGCCTTCATGGAGAACTTTTTGATGAAACTCACTCGCATTTGCATTTAATGAAGAGATCTATGGTTAGCCTGACAGCAAAGGGATCTAACCCATGATCCGTCTATCACTGAGGATATTTTGCGTCAGCATTGTGGTCGGAGAAAGCAGGTTGCGGAATTCGTATCGACCATCCATTGTTGGGATTCGAACCCGGTTCGTCTCATTGGAAGGCGAACGCTCTATCCCCTGAGCCATCACGGCTCGTGGAGATCAATTGTCAATTATTGAGGAATTCATTTACAATTGTAGAGGAGGTGGATTATAGCTGGTATTTAAGATTACAGACCAGGCAATTTGCAGCGTTAATACTTCAATTCAAAGTGCCTTCCTGTAAGAGTGGACTGCTTTAAATCTCTTGCATGTGGAGAAAAGTAGGGGATGTCTGAATTCATCAATGGAAAACCATCAAAAATCTTAACTTGAGTGACAACCAATTATCGGGGAAAACGTTAAAGGTTCCTCGGAAGGATTAAAATGGGGGTTGCTAATCCCCCATTTTAACAATTAAACCTGAGTTAATATTCCATTCGTGTTTTTTTCCCGTAACCCACAGTCCCTGGCCAAATTATTAGACACCCTGTTACATTCTATGTAAAATCTGAATCACATACAGTTTTCTTTTGATACTATACAGCATTACTGTTCTTACGCGACTGAAACCGGTTTGCACTTTTTTACGTTCGCGTATTAATTCGCGAAATTCGACGATATATAATATAAATTCAACGATTGGATAAATTAAGACGATATATTATATAAATATAGAATATTTATTATATCAGGTGCTATGTTAGTACATTATAATAATTAGACCAAATTATTGGACGCACTGTAGGGTTTTAATAATTAAAAGTTTTGCACCGAGTTTATATGCAATACTTTTATATTTAAACATACATGTAATGGATTTTTATAAAGCAGATTTTTATACACTTCCTATTTGTATTTATTTTTAACGTATTGTATTACAATGTAAAGCAATTGATACGCGGACGTAAACAAATGTAACCCAGTGTACGAACAATAGAGCTGTAGAGTATCACCTGCGTCTAATAATTTGGCCATGGACTGTATATAGCCTACCTGTTATACGACCTAATCTGCTCAATCTTTCTCCGGCATATCCAGCAATGTGAGCACCTAGGCCATTGCCAATTACATGAAATCTTTCTGAATCAGCCCCTAAATTGTCCTAAAAAAGACATTATAACACGTTTTATTAAATAATTACAGATATAGTAAATAATATATAGGACATAAATCAATTAATTCCTCATTCCCGAAATTCATTGCTCTTACACGAGTTAGTTTAAGACTGTTCAGCGCAAGGTTTGTCGCTTTATAAAACAACGCTTATTAGCGGTTAATATGATATTTTCACAGCTGTTGTGAGTTTGCTATAGTCATTCATGATTGTTAGGTTAGGTTTTGTCTGTTATTACCTAGCGCCCTCTATGCTAATTATGAAATTTGAGCAATATGTTATTTTAAAGAAAAGCCGTAGTTTTCTAAAAAAATAAGTATGTGGTAAAACTTTTCAAAAAGTTATTAAAATGTAAAATTTCACAAAAATATTTGAAGATATTACTTTGTAAAATGAATTGAACTGAAATCGCAAATTTGAATTTATTATTTTTGAAAAAAGATTTGTAAAAAAGATTAATGCTACAAAAAAATGAGCGTTTCGCAAAAGAAAAAAAAAAGAATTTCAAATTCAGCTCAAATAAAGATTTATNATTTCAGGGTAAAAGTACATAGTGTTTTGAAGAGTATTTTGTGAAATACATTGGTAAAAACTTACGCTAAGGTATTCGATGAGTTTGGCAACTTGAACTCCAACAACACGAGCATTAGCAGCGGTTAGAAAGTTAGGCATAATCTTTTCGTTTCCATAACCAACCAAAATGATGTTTTCATCACTTAAACTCAAGAAGTTGTCCTTTGTATCCTTGAAGGTAACATTCGAAATAAAGATTTATTTTCTTTAAAAGAAAAGAAAGAAAGAAAACAAGATAGGAAAAATTCGGTAATATGTTCAAATATATTAACTATACAAGGCGAGGAAGAAATGCAAAAAGATGGAAGTAGTCCCAAAAAATAAATATTGAAAAATATAGTTCTCATTTTTTTATTCAAAAATATCTAAACAATTAATTCGAAGGCAGACAATTGTAAATATAAAGAAGATAGAAATACGAAAAAAGAAATATTGAAAAAAAAGCTCTTATTCTTTTATTCAAAAATATCTAAACAATTAATTCGAAGGCAATTTGAAATTGGCGATTCGAATTAATTCTAAACAATTAATTCGATGGTAAATGGAAGAAGATAGAAATAGTTTTGAAAAAGAAGTATTGAAAAAAATATTTCTTCTTATTTTATACAAAAATATCTAAACAATTAATGCGAAGGCGGCCGATGGTAAATGTTAGAACATAGAAATAGAACCGAAAAAGAAATATTGAAAAAAAAATAGCTCAAATTTGTTTATTCAAAAATATTTAAACAATTAATTCGAAGGCAGACTATTGTAAATATAAAGAAGATAGAAATAGTACCGAAAACGAAAAAGAAATATTGAAAAAAAAAGTTCTTATTTTTTTATTCAAAAATATGTAAACAATTAATTCGAAGGCAATTTGAAATTGGCAATTCGAATTAATCATAAACAATTAATTCAATGGTAAATTTAAGAAGATAGAAATAGTTTTGAAAAAGAAGTATTGAAAAAAATATTTCTTCTTGTTTTATACAAAAATATGTAAACAATTAATTCGAAGGCGGCCGATGGTAAATGTTAGAACATAGAAATAGAAACGAAAGAGAAATATTGAAAAAAAATAGCTCTAATTTTGTTTATTCAAAAATATTTTAGCAATTAATTCAAAGGCAGGCGATGTTAAATGTAAGAGGATAGAAATAGTATCGAAAAAGAAATATTGAAAAAAAAATAGCTTTAAGTTGTTTATTAAAAAATATCCAAATAATAAATTCGAAGGCAGACGATGGGAAATGTAAGAAGATAAAAATAGTACCGAAACAAAATATTGAAAAAAAATAGTTATAAATTTTTATGTGACAAAAATAGCCCTTATTTAGCTGTTTTACCATAGTTTGATTGAATTGGCGACTAAAGTGCAAATCTTGCCAACTTGTTCGCCAAATAAGTAAATTACTTTAAAACAGCTATTTCGAAGCCCATTTAACAAACTCCGATAATAAGTATTAAAAATCATGAAATTAAAATAATTGAAACTAAAATAATCGAATTTAAAATAATTAAAATAAAGAAAAGTACCGGTTAAAATGAGCATAGACAGGCAGTTCTTGATTAGGTATAGCTTCTAGCGACATTCGATTGTCTTTCCGACCATTTGTTGATATGTAATTCTCAATTCTTATGATAATCACTGTAGTTTGCAACCACTATGCGGAATTACCCTGTATGCTATTTTGAATCAATAAAAAATCTGACCTGTTAATTAAAACACCTATATTTTCTATCAGAATTATTTCATGCATGAATTTTAAGATATACCTGATTCATTCATTTTTTTAAAGAAATTCTCTAAAATACAGCTTGTCGAATCTCTCTTATCTAAGATCTTTAAATGATTTCGAGAAAGAAAAAGCAATAAATAAATAACAAATAATATATTCGGATACTTGCCATCATCCACGTCGATTGCCCTTCTCTGGTGTTGGGAACGAGAATTCTCGTCCACGAATTTGCGTTGAAATCTGAGCCGTCTAGAGTTTCCATTTGGAATGGTGATATAATTATTGGTATAATGTTATGGCGCCTCGTGAAGAAGTAAAATAGAGTGTTTTGTTCTTCTGGTGTCTGGGGAGGGACGCTGATGGGCCGCCAGTAGGGATGCTGAAATGGAGGTCCAGACCAAAAACAGCCAAGATCACCATAGCACACTGTTCTGAATTTGCTGACTGTTTCAACTGTAAATAATATAGACTGTTTCAACTGTAAATGGTAGCGAGTCAGGGGTGTAGACAAATGGAGGATGTGGAGGTCATGTCCCTCCTGTAGGGTTACAAAATCCTCGAAATTTTGGCAAGCCTGTTTTTAATGGTCAGCAAGTGTTTATGTTTAACCCTTTGACGCAGAAATTTTATTAAAAATATTTTCATGCTAATTTTCATTATTTTGCATAACTTAGGTCAAAACAAGTGAAAATGTTATGTTCAGCATGTTTATAATTTAATGTTATGAAGTAGTAGTAGTAGTTCATTTACGTCACACTAGAGCTGCACAATGGGCTATTGGTGACGGTCTGGGAAACATCCCTGAGGATGATCCGATGACATGCCATCACAATTTTGATCCTCTGCAGAAGAGATGTCACCCCCGCTTCGGTAGCCCGACGACCTGCAAGCAAAGTCGAGCACTTTACGGTGGAACAATTTAACGAGGACCTATACCGCACACTCTCGGTCCCTACGCAGACTGATCCAGGCGGTCAGCCACCAGCACACTGACGGCAGCCAGTGATGCTGGGAACCGTGTCTTAATGATCAATCCACTGCGGGACTTAAGTGTTATGAAATGAAGCATGAAACATCGGTGACGTTTTCGTGTAAGGTAAAATCTTCTAAACACGACTCAATTCTAAACAGTTTTTTCGAATATTCATTTATTTAGATCTGAGAGAAACAGTTATCATCATTCAAATTTCTTTAATTTGCGAAATCAATTATAGATAAAATTTTGAATATGAATGGAAAAAAATGTCAAACTACGTCTTTTGGATTTTAAATTTTTGTACAGATATAATACTGATAATCTAGCGTATTTTTTTAGCAACTATTAAACATTTTTTATCATTAAAAATTAACAAAATAACTTTTAAAAACTTATTAAGTTAATTAAGTTAACTTGTAATTAGAGCTTCAGAAAAAATATAGAAAAGGAACACCGGTGTTCTTTCTGCTCCAAAGAGTTAAAATGTTTGCATATTTTTTAAATATGTAATAGTAATCTTCTCTTATATTGTGTGACTGTAAAGTAATCCTCCTCCCCCAAAAGTTTGAGTACTACTCCAAATGAAGAGAAAAAGAAGGAAAAATTTTATCCTAGCAATTACAAATTACAAACAGTTTCTTTTCTCAACTAGTTACAAAACGTTTATCGCATAAAAAATTATTTGTTGGACCTAATTTGTTTTTATATATATCTCTGGCAGCTAGAAACCTGCAAGCAAATCACAGAATGGTTTTAGAGAATTAGTCATAACTAAAAAATAAGAAATAAGGAATGTTAATTTTCATATCTAACAAAACAAACTACGTTCAACTCTAATAAATGTTATTTTTAAAGGTGAAAAAAAAATATAAGGGTTACATGAAGAATATATATTGCACAAATGGATACAAGAATACAAAGATGATCTATTTACAGATAACAAAAAACGCAAGCATCGTAATGTGTACTATTTACTAACACAGATACTCTAACTCCCTATCTTAAGAGCTCAAAATTCCATCGGATAATATCTCCATCAAAAAGAACATCAATCTCGTGACGTCTTCCATCCGTTTCTATGGAAACACTCCAGTGCATAATTGGGCACTTGCAACTCGAGAACAAGTGAAGTGATTATGCCTAACTATGTGATTTAAAGCAAATTTAATTGAATGCCAGTAAGTGACATCACGCGCGCGTGTCAAACCTGACTGGCTTCTGAATTGACAAATGCCATGATTTACCTACGATGACGTCACTTGCAGGTATCCAATTGGATATTTGCAAGCGTTGTCACGCGTGGGTCAGCCAATCAGGCTTGACTCACGCGTCTGACGTCGCTTACAAGTATCCATTTAAATCTGAACCGAAAATTGAATCAGCGTGATACCTTGCCCAAACCTTAACCTAAACCCAAACCTTAAAGCTAAAACGTAAACAAGAATTGCGCTGACAAAAATTATACGCATTGGTGGTCGGAAATTGATATTTAAGCGAGGGAAAAACAAAAACGCTAGCGAAATCTGACAAATTACTAAAGACAGGCGAATGTAATAAACATGAAAACCTGTTTAATTGGTGGTTGAAGCTTGAAGGTATTTTTAATAAACATGTTTTAACCCCTGTTTTCTTATGCATTTAAACCTGTCATTTTTTTATTACATCAGTCCTCCTATATCGTGATTTGTCAGATTTCGAGAGGGTTTTTGCTTTTTGCCCTCGGTAATCCAACATTTCAAAATGAAAATTTCTTTTTTGCCTAGGCCTTTTCAAGAGTTGCAAAAATTCGTATGCAACTGCAATTTTGGACGGGGCTGATCAAAGCTTTAAAAATATTACTTGTTTATTTCAAGGCCAGTATTGCATGGGCTAGAATTTGCATTAGCAACTAAATATTTTATATTATTGGAAGCATATCTTACGAGGCCACAATGCAAAGTCACCAAAAAAACTATTCTACAAGTTTTGCAAAAATGTTCTATTCAACTTATAATTATTAGATAAGCATTTAAATGTTCCTGTTGCGATTGCATACGATAAAATATATATGTATCTGTCTGTGTTAAATAAATAACGGAGAGATGGTATCAACTAAATCATATTTAAACTAAGTTGTGCAACTAAGATTAAAACTTTGTAGTATATTGTAGTGTTATTCAGACTTCTATCTCAAAATAATTATTATAAATCATGATATTTCTTTCTGCATTTTGCAGAATCTTTTGTTAAATATTTTATATTGCAAAAAAGTATTTAATTATTCCCAACATATTATTTTCTTGAATATTATTGTTCGAAATACATAGCTTTATTCGCATATTATATTATATTCGAAATTAGTATTAATGATTACCAATTGTTTTTATTTTGTTCTTTATATATTATATAAAATACAGTTTATTTCATTTTCGCATAATATTGATACATTTTTGCAGCCTAAATTAAAATTTTAAGCTGTTAAAACTTTTATGTAATGATTTTATTCTAATGAAATGTAACATTTTAATGAAAAAATTTAAAATTAACTTACGGACATTTATCGCATTTTCATTTTCAGTTGAACTAAATACAAAATCCAGTAAAACACAAACAATCCAATAGACGACAGTAAAACCTCTCATGGCTCGATACGCATTTCATGAGGATATGGTTAAAGTTACGCTTTAAACGCGAAAATGAATACTTTAAAAAAATAACTTATAAAGTAAATAGACTATCGATAAACAGTAATTTAGTGTAATTTTCGAAAAAAGGAAAATAAGAGTTTTCCGTGTAACAAACACTGCCTAAAGAGAATCAAATGTCGAAATTATCCTTTACCTTTAGGCATTCCAAATTATCGTCGTATTCATTTTCCATTAGCAAACGATTCTTCTTACTTTTACATTATAATATTAAATGAAATTTATACGAAGCTCGTATACTCTTTGAACAGTTTTACAATTTTTATCATACTGTTATATTCAGAAGTTAGAAATTACTGATAGAAATCTTGTGCTGCCATAACATGCGAATTTATGAAATTGTTAATAAATATTAAAGATTTTTCATTTGTAATGATCAATATAGAATGCAACATTTCCTATTGGAATTTAGTGATCTAGTGTTGAATACAAAATTATTTCGAATGGAAATTAATGATCTCGTATTATTTGTCTTGTCAGGATTGTAAAATTATTTTTATTTGAAATTGGTGATCTTTTATTTTTAATGTTTAGCCCTGAATGTAAAACTATTTTTAATGCAAATTAGTGATTTTGTATTTTTGATGTCTTATCTTGAATGTAAAATTATTTTTAATGGAAGTTAATAATCTTGTATTTTTGATGTCTAGCCCTGAATATTAAATTTCTAATGGAAATAAGTCATCTTGTATTTTTGATGTCTAGTCCTAAGTTCCTAAGTGTAAAATTATTTTAATGGAAATTAGTGATCTTTTTTTTAATGCATAGTCCTGAATGCAATATTTTTTATAGAATGTAGTGATATTGCACTCGTTTTTACCAATCTAACATGCGAAATTGTGAACATTTTATACTTTTGATAACAAGTCTTGAATGTAAAATTATTTTCAACGAGTTTAGTGATTTTGTACTTAAGACTACTACTGCCGACTCTCAAAGTATTTTTAATTGCACTAAATGATTTTTTCACTTATGACAGCCTTGCATGTGATGTTTTATGAAAATTTGGAGACCATTCACTTTTTATGATTATTTTAGCAAGCAAAATTTGGAATGAAAACTTGTGATCTCTTACTTTTGAAAAGTTTAGCAAGTGAAACTATTACGCTAATCTTTAATATGGTGTACTTATAATGAAAATTAGTTCGTGTATTTTTATTTAATAATCTACCAAGTGAAAGAATTAGTTGTGTTGAAAATTAGTGATCTTAACTTTTAATGATTAATGTAGCATCCGCAATTTCAACCCTGTATTATAGGCTGTGCAAAATATTTTTCTTTCATTGGCAACATTTTATTGTATAAATTCAAATTTTGCTTCAATTTCATCACACAAATAAATCCTTTAAAATGGATTGCTGTTTAAATTTAGACACAATAGTTTCCAAAATTTTAATATTTGAAAATAATGACTGGGACAATCTTTAAAAACAAACTCACGCTTTCGTAAAAATAAAACTTTATTTAAAATATAAACTATTCAATAAAAGTAGAATCTCAAATTTGAAAATACATTGAAAATTTTAAGACTCTTTAAAAACCAATTCTTAAGTAAAGCAAATTCCACCGGAAAAAATATTCAACAATACTCGTTGCTAAACATCGCCCCTTGTTGACTTCTGTCATCTGATGCATCTGGACGTGGGCACAACTCAAAAATAATCGGTGAAATTTGCCTGTGAAAACAAAAATTATTTTTGCAACAATAAACAGAAAATGCAAGCTATTATTCAAGACTTCATTGAATTCGTTGTTGTAGTTCATTTATATCGCACTATAGCTGCACAATAGGCTATTGGCGACAGTTTGGGAAACATCTCTGAGGAAGACATGCCATCGCAATTTTGATCCTCTGCAGAGGGGATGGCATCTGCCCTTTGGTTCTGCGCCAAGTCTAGCACTTCACGGTGTAACAGTTTAAAGACTAATACCACACACCCTCGGACCCTACGCAGACTGATCCAAGTGGTTACCCACCTGCGCAATGACCGCAGTCAGTAATGCTTGACTTCGGTGATCTGCTGGGAACCGCGTCTTAACGATCAGTCCACTGCTGGACAGACTTCATTAAGAGGAGTCAGAAGTCATTCATCNTGAATTCGTTGTTGTAGTTCATTTATATTGCACTTGTTTTGCACAATGGGCTATTGGCGACGGTTTGGGAAACATCTCTGAGGATGACATGCCATCGCAATTTTGACCCTCTGCAGAGGGGATGTCACCCTCACTTTGGTTCTGCGCGAAGTCTAGCACTTTACGGTAGAACAGTTTAACGAGGACTAATACCACACACCCTCGGACCCTACGCATACTGTTCTAAGTGGTTAACCACCTGCACACTGACCGCAGTCAATAATGCTTGACTTCGGTGATCTGCTGGGAACCGTGCCTTAACGATCAGTCCACTGCTGGACAGACTTCATTAAGAGGAGTCCGAAGTCATTCATTGTCCAATACGAATAGAAATTCAATCATAGGGATTTCTTAGAGAATCAACCCCCTGCTCGCTTCCCCCACCAAAGCTCATTAATTACTGTTATTTTTCTTAAAGATCGTTGTTTATAAAAAAAAATCAGTTTGTAAGTTATATAATTATGTAAACACCATCCAAAAATTTCGTCATTATTTTTTTTAAAATAAAGCCTCCATAAAATATTTTCTTTGCGTTTAATATTTACCAGTTAAAAAATTTAATTTTTGATATATATGATAGAAATAGATTTTAAGTTTTAGTTTTCCTTGTCGCCAATTAGATGTCCACCTTAAGGTGGATGCTAGGGACCGTTGCTCTCTTGGCTTCACTCTTTACATGTCAATGCCTTAAAAATAAATTATAAGCAGTGCAAAAATTCCAATTGAATGGGTAATATGCAGTAGTATTATCTACAAAAATATAAAATGAAAATTTATACACAATTTATGGTTACTTTGAATATTTTTAACCCAAAAAATATTATCAAAATAAGAATTTTAAATATTTTAAATCATTCTAACGAGCTGTCTCTCTATTGAAATATTTAATTTCTAACTCGAATTACAAAATGGGCACATTGTTTCAATGGTACTTAAATTAGATATTTTTCAATCATTTAAAGAGATTTTATTTAAAATAAAAGTGATGAAAGTATGAAAAACACGATTGTTAAAATAAGAAAATAATGATAGGCTATTCAAGTCGCAATTCTTCTCCTTATTGTGTTGAAACAAAAGAGGAAAGTTCTAAAGTAGTACGTAATTGACCGTTTAATCCCTTAATGGGGAACGATAGCGTATTTTCAATGAAGGAAATTGTCTTTAAAATCTATTTGTATAACAAAAACTGTTTTTGCAGCCATTTTAGAACAGACTCGCTGGCATAAAATCTCGCAATCAAAATTTCTAACTTTTTCCGACTAGTTTTTGAGCTGAAGTCACCAATCTCTTGGTTCATACGGACCACGGAGTAGAAAAAATTTAATATCGCCGACTATTACCCCATTTTTGTTTTAGATGTTGATTAATTAAGGTGCATAAATGTGTCCTTCCAAAACAAAATTGGCGTGTTTCAACAAGTTTTAAAAACTACACTAATTGAAAAAGTATTTTAAAAAATTGTGCTAATTAAAAATTGATCTAAAATTGTAGTGATTAAAAAATTATTCTAAAAATGTACTAATTAAAATTTTATTAAGGTGGTAAGTTACAAATAAACACTATTTTTCATAGGCCGCGGTAGCCATCGTTACTCCTGTCAGGAAGGGAAAGATTTCGATTCTCAAAGTCACTAAGATCCACCAAATTCATGCGATATACTTGCTCATAAAATCTATGGAATCTATAGTCTCGCTGTCAGTAGCAGAGCAGTATTATAAGTACAGAGATCTGGAGAAAATTTCCTTCCCCTACAGATTTATCTCTAAATTCTGAAAGTGGTCTCAAGGGTGAATGGTAATGCCAGTGGACTCTGAGCTACGTTGCACTTTCACCTATGCGGTGCTCTCTTGTTAAACGAACTTCCAGATTTAGCTCATAAGGACAAGGTAGGCGAGTTGGGCTTGCACAAGAAACATTTTCCGTAAAATGTTTACTTAATATGGCAACCAAAGATAAGAAATAAAAGTTAAATGATTATATTGATTAATTAAAGTTTACTTAATAAAAATGAAAATGTTAATATTCAATCAGTGTGGTTTCACAACTTGACATTGGTTGGAAATTTGAAGCAACCAAAGTAAAAATCGTTTTTCACTAACAATTCAATTACAGATGAGGCAATTCTTTCGCAGATAATTAATTGACCAGTGAGTTAAAACGCTCATATATTTACTAGAGCATCCGTATTGTTGGACAATATAAGTTTCACGCGTTTCTGATTTCCCGATTCCAAATTTGTCGATATTTTACCGTGAAAAAGAATCTAGCATCAACCTAAGTGTTGGTCACTTTTCCGACTGATTAGAATGCTTAAATTTCGTGCGTCAATCAAAATTTTGATTACTTTTCTTCAAAAATAAGCAGACTCAAAGCTAAAAAAGAAAATAAAAAGTTTTGAAGCTTTTTCAATTTTTGAAAATTTTTGATTAAAAAAAAAGAGAAAACATTTTAACGCATGTCCGTTTGCATGGTGAGAGTTCACCATTTCACTGACAAACGTCAACAGCCAAATGACAAAAAAATTTTTCTGTTATTTTATTTTATAACCGTCGTTGAACAGCCGAGCCAATTTTGGGTTTACGACTACTAATGTTCAATTCCCCAGCTTTGTAATTTTAAACCAATCTAAAAGACAAAGAAACTCCTGGATCAGTAACCCCAGAGGCATAATTTGTTATAGGAACACGGAGGACTTTGTGACTCCACAGATTTAGCGTATACCAGTCACCATTACTTCGACTGACGGGGATCGAAACCACGACCTCTTGGACATGGGCCCAGTGCCCTACCAACCAGGCTATCCCGGCCGTTTTCTGTTATTTGCTGTAAATAATTGATTATCAAAAAATGGTAGTATTAGATCAATAATGGAGTAAATATTTCTAAAGAGAAATAAATTTAGGCAAATCTTAAATTAAAAAAATAGAGTGCATCGCCTTCTTTCCATTACTTTCGAAAATTCCCACTACGTCCTTCGAAAATTTTTTGACATACGTTTTAATTTTATTTTATCTATGACTAAAATTTCCTGTTTATCTATGACAAATTTCCTATTTATTTTATCTATGACTGAAATTTCCCTGACCCCTCCTATCGTATATTGAAAAAAGCATTTGAAATTCATGATTCATGAAATTCATTTAATATTCATGATATGATGCATACATAAATATATATCCAACTTTTAGTTTAAAACTTCATTAAAACTTGACATTAAAAATCAACATTAACATTAAACTTGTTACTTGAAAATTAAAAAATCAAATTTGCACATTAAAACTTGGCTATAGCAAACGATTAACTGAATTAAGAACAAAAATTTGAGTTTCAGCATAAGAGCCGGAAGCGGTTACACTGTACTAAATGTAATAGATATTGCGTACTTAATGTCAAGGTATAAATTACTCGAACGCCAAGGAGAGCTTTTGGATTATGAAACCTTTATCTTAAGAAAGATTATAATTTAAATGAGAAATTTCGCAAATTACGCGAACTTTTGATAACTAAATTTATATAAATGTTTGGAATTCAGTATTCCAGAAACCGATCTGGTCCTCTAAGCTTCAGTTACAAAGTTTTTCACTTGTTTATGTGAAAAAAAGACTTCATATATTCAATGGGAATGTAATGTAGTGAGTTAAATTATTTGTACTAATTTTTGAAAGAGTTTATCGTTCTGGAAGTAATTCCGTGTAAAATGCCTGTTTTTAAAACAATTAGTGCATATGTGTCAAAATTTTCCAAATGCAAGCTTACATTTTGAAGCACTGAGCAGTTAAGAGTTCATCTCCGGTAGATTTTGGCGTAAAAAATTGCTTATTCGCGATATAATCTCTCAGAGACGGATATAAATTCTAATTAAAAAAAAAAAAAAATTCGTGAAGCAAGTAAGCTGTTTTTTTAAATGCATAGTATTTTTTGACCAATTTATAAACCTAATAAAAAAGAGAGAAAATGCCTCTTAAGATGGTTTTCTGGCCTAGAGGTTTAATTTAAGTTTCATTTTCTCACTTTTGTTTTCAATGCAATTTAAGGATAAGTTGTGTATTTGTTTCATGTTTATACTTCGTCATCTTTCCGCTACAATTAAAATTTTCCAACCCGTAATAATAACTTAACGTGTAAAAATTATTGCAAAGATGGCAGTACACGCCGAGCACTGAGAGGCATAGCTCGATCACCGTACTGTATATTCTGAGATATACAAAACCAAAAATTTAACGATTATGTATCAGTGTAGCTATGGTTAAAAACCGAAACAAATCTGACAAAATGTCATTTATAAAAATGGTAGTCATTTGAAAAACGTTTAACAAAAATAGATCTTTTAGGGGCATTTAAACGTATATAAAAAATCTAAATTTTGGATAATATTCGATGATTATATTTTCCAACCGTAGTCTGGCTTCTTTGCTGGAGGTATACGCACGGTGCTCCCAGCGTACTAGGCGATCTGCGTTGCGCCTTTTTCAAAAACTTGCGTTGTGGTGCCAATTCGAATACCCATGATGCTGACAATTCCTATTAAAGAGACGCGGTGGCTCAGGGGATGGAGCGCTTGCCTTCCAATGAGGAGAAACGAGTTCGAATCAAGCGATTGCGGTTGATACGAATTCCGCATCCGGCTTCCACCGACCGCAGTGCTGACGTAAAATGTCCTCAGTGGTAGACTGATCATTGGTTAGAGTCCTCTTGCCGTCAGGCTAACCGTGGGAGATTTTCGTGGTTTTCCTCTCCATGTAATGCAAATGCGGCAAATGTTCCATCAAAAAGTTCTCAACGAAGACAAATTTTCCCCATTACTTGATCCAGGAGTTCACTTGTCTTCTGGATTGGGTTCAAAATTACAAGGCAACGGAGTTGAACATTAGTAGTCTTAAGCCCAAAAATTGGGTCGGCTGTTAACTGACGGTCATACAATAAAATATAAAGTCTCCGTAAAACCGTAATTGAAAATTACCGTAACCAATTAATTGGCAATTTCAACTACATCTTTAATGAAAATGTATGCATTTAGGAGAAAATCTCCAAATAAGCGAATTTAGCGATTCGTTATTGTTCTAGAGTTCGCGCCAACACATCCTGTCAGTAAATTGGTATTTGAAGATAGGCCGAAATACCCCCTGCGTCGTTCGTGAGCTCTCGATTACGTTAAATAGTTTCCGGGCAAAACAGTTCCGCCCTCCTGTACTCCGTAGTGTAAGGTCTAGAAGTATACAATGAAAAATAATCAAAATTTCGAATTATGAATGAAAAATTTGCAATGAAAAATAATCAAAACTTCCCTCCCTCCGAATTATTGCAGATCATTGCTTTTCGAATTTAATTAGTTTTTTCTCTTAAATCAGACTTTTTTTTTGTGGATGGCATTTTATGATCTAATAAAACAATAGAGAAAAGTAAGGTACAATTCTGTCTAGAAAAGCCGTTTAAAACTATTACTAGTATATTAGGTACTTATTACCACCAGTAACTGTTACCACAATACCAGTAACTATTATCACTTGAGCAATGACGTCAGAAATTTAAAAAAAAATTTTTTTGATCACCGAAAGGTGATCACAGGTTACCCATCGGCAAAGTGGTTGCTGCATAATTTTTTTTAACCCTCTTTATTTGCGATATTCACCTGAATTAGTATTGAAAACTATCCAGCTTGACCTGTAGGTTCGAAAACTTCTGATTCTTAATTAAAACAATAAAAACAAAAATATCGTTCAAATGACGAAATTCTCTTTTATTCACAACTCAAGAAGTATTTATAGGATCTCTCTGGTCCCATATCTCAAACATAAACTCACCAACTTATTGCATAACAAAATTAAAAGTGAAATAAGAGAATTATAAAAAATAAATATCAAACAGCAGCTGTCGCCATAGCAACGCATGCAATGACGACGCATGCGCACTGTTTACTATTACTCTTAAACACAGTTGAAAAATGTGATAACGTCCAAATAGGTGCACACGCCATCAAACCCTAAACATCCATTTTTCAAATGGGTAAAGCATTTTTTTACGACCCAATATAAATTCTGCAATTCCTTAAAAATTAATTCTTACCATCGAGTGTAAGACTTTAAAGGGAAGACGTTCATCTTCTTAAAGAAAGGTTTGTTGGAATCATTTTTAATCACTTTAGAAACGACGTCCATTACACCTTTGGCCCTTGACATCGGTTTCTTTTCCCAGCGTATGACGGCGCCAAATATTTCGCCAAGAAAGGAACTGCTGAACACTATATGACTCTCGTGCCAACCGCTCTTTCTGAAATGAATAAACATATTAAAAGCCAAATAAAGATGCAATAAAATTTGTTCTGACAATAGAAATTTTATTGAAATATTAATTTCTTAGGCAACAGTAACAGTAAAAATAAAATTTTATATATCCAGCTTAACCTGTTCTTGCGCTGCCAAAAACAGAAAGGCCCTTTTCATATATAAGGTCGTGAGCGAAGGATTACTCCATTATTTATATGTGATCACGCAAATGGGAATGGTGATACTTAAAATAATTTCATATTTTTAATTAGTATGATTATGATTTATTAATATCAACTAAATATAATTTTTAATGCAATAAGTAGATTCATATTTAATTTAATTTAATTCAATCAGGAATGCAAATTTTTAACAATTGCCATGCAATAATAAAAATCCGAGTAAAGCTTAACAGTTTAAACCAGTTTACAGCCCGGTATATCCTACAATGATGTTTTCCTAATGAGATATTATTTACAGTAACCAAATAAACTGCTTAAATGTCATATTTCCTTAATCATCAACTCTTGTTTTTGTTGAGAAAGCTGTTACAAAATATTGTACTGTTTTTTTCCCCTCAGAGATTTATATTCGTCAAATCAATTTACCTAGAGACCGTACGTAATTTTATACTATGCCTAGGTGCTGCAAATAAAAATTTGCTTATTTCATTCTTTACGCAAAAATGTCAAGAATTGTATACAATGCCAGAATTTCGGACAATACAAGTAAGACAAAGAATTTTAGGATTTTTTGTTTTTCTTTTAAAACGATTGCTCCTTAGTATGAATATTATTGATGACAATTCCTTCATTACATAGTTTATCAATAAGAAAATAAAAATATTTTTTACAAATTAATGACCTTTTGCTTATTTTTTTTTAATAAATGGGATTAAAAGGTTATTTGGAAAACGAATTAAAATATCGTTTTTTTCTAGTCGGCAGTCTGAACTAACTTCTAACAATCAATTTTTTAAAAAAATAAATTCCACCTAACATAATAATTTGTATATTAAGTCTTAATATTTTCTTCTGAACAACCAATATACAGATTATTATGTTAGGTGGAATTTATTTTTTATATACTAAGTGTCAATATTTTCTTCTTTCTGAATGAGATTCTCGGTGCTGCCATCTAGTGTGGCAGAAACTAGACGTCCAAATTAACACTGCCAAAGGTATCTCACCCATTGTGGTGGTCCTGAAGAAGTGGATACCACTTCTGGAGAACGTACTAGGTCTGCTCATGTGTGCGCACTTGTGCAGCTCATTGGAAATTTAAGAAAAATATATAAATAACTGGAGAAAAAAAATTAAAAAAAAATTTATATATATGTATATTTCTTCTTTTAATTAAATTTTGTGTTAGCTTCTATGTAAGGAAATATTTATTAAATAGCCATAACTTGATTGTGCTTGATTGATAAAATAAATTTACTTACTTTCCTTCAATTTTAAATTCAGCATTTCCGTTACTCCCGTAGAGGAAAATGTTTAATATATCCATGCTACCCCACTTTTTCTTATTACTCTTGGAAACATTTTTGTTTTCTTCTTCAAATAATGTTATTTTATACTCAAACCCTAAAAAGAAATAGAATAGTTTCATAGAAGAATACAATAGTTTCACAGAAATAGAATAGAAAAGAAATAGAATAGAAAAGAAATAGAATAGAAAAGAAATAGAATAGAAAAGAAATAGAATAGAAAAGAAATAGAATAGAAAAGAAATAGAATACTCAAGTAATAAATTGAACTTAATAGCAATGAGCACTACGTGAAAAACTTTTATACAAATAAACGGATTTTGCATGAGCTAAATCCGATTAATTAGTCCAGGCGCTATTTTTTAAGTTACTAAATCAGATACAAAAAAAAACACTTTCTCTGAAATTACATGCCTCTCAATATTCGGATTTTTGACCATTAGAATAGGGGGTTCAAAACTTTAGGTATCTAAATATTAATTTCTCCTTTTGCGTACTTTGCTATATCTCAACAAGCTTTTAAACAAACCGAAAGATTATTGTACTCATAATTCCATCTAAAAAGCTATTTTTTTTTAAATTATTTGATAATGGTCGAAAAATTGTAAGTTAAATACATTTTTGTATCATTTTTAGCGTTATTCAAAATTTGGAATCGATTAAATGGTTTTAGATAAATTCTATTTTGAAACTATTCAGCGTAAAAATAGTGAAAAATTTGTAAGGGACCTAAATTTTTAACCTTTCTCCCGCTTAAACTATTGGTATCATAGAAATATTTTGATGGTTAAGAATTTAAAAAAAAAACTATTTTAAAAAAAAGGAAGGTTTATTAAGATAAAGTACGTTTCTGTATCCGATTTTTAAAGTATCATTCGCATGCATTAACTATCATTTTTAAAGTTAATACTTCATCTTAGAATATTAGAATATGGAAATCTATCTGGAATATATCTTATTCATCATAAAATATGAAAATTGAATTACTAGATCAAAAGTTGCTTTCTCTTTTTTATTCTGTGCATTGTACTATTCGAAGTATAGTCTGAAATAAGAAAATTTAAAATTAAATTCATTGTTTTTAACATAAAGTTCTAACAACTAATTTAAAACTAAACACTTTAATTTGAAAATGCGTTAAAACTTGAATTTATATTGAAAATGAAATTTTAAAATACATAACTTAAATTTAAAATATTATCCCTTAAAATATTGCGTGTTCTAAAAATTATCAACAATTTGAGAAATAAATTATAGAAACGTGGAAGATAGAAATGTAAAGTTTGAAGAAACCTGGAACATTTTCTAACCAGTTTCAATATTGGTTACAAAGACTTATCACATAGCACTGTAAACTGAAAGAAAAGGTTTAAACTTTCTTTTCAAAGCAACCACTAAATGCAGAAACATCGTGGTCTGGTCTAAGGACAAAATTAAAGGACCCTCCTGCTTATTATAGTTAAAAAGTAGACCGCTAGGTTTACTATTATAACTAAATATTATCATAGTAGTAAACGAGCCGTGATGGATCAGAGAATAGAGCGTTCGACTTCCAATGAGGTGAGCCGGGTTCGAATCCCTGTGATGGCTGGTCGATACGAATCGGCATCTGGCTTGCACCGACCATTGTGCTGGCGTGAAATATCCTGAGTGGTAGACGGATCATGGGTCAGAGTCCCCTTGCCGTCGAGCTAACCGTGGTAAGTTTTCGTGGTTTTCCTCTCCATGCAAATGTGGATTAGTTCCATCAAAAATCCCCCACGAAGGTACATTTCTCCCAATACTTGATCCAGGAGGTCTCTTGTCTTCTGGATAAGGTTCAAAATTTCAAGGCTGGGCAGTTGAACATTAGTAGTCGTAAACCCAAAAATGGGGTCGGCTATTCAACGACGGTTATAAAATATTAAATAAAATATAATAGTAAACCTAGCGACTGAAGACGTTTTGAGATTTTTTTGAGTAAGCAGTCCATTTGTTGAACTAAGTAATTCTGTAATCTTTGGGAAATAATTATCTGGTTTCCTGAGGAGAACGCTGCAAACAATGCATTCAATTCTCCTTCGTGACTTAAAACAAAAGTAATTTTTTCTTCAAATCTTTGGTTATTTGTGTAACATTTGCTATATATGAAGGGGTCTTTAGATATTGGATTTAAGTTCAAAGTTTGGAATATTTAACCTCGCTGTGGAAGACGTACTTTTAAAATTTTTTAATCAAACAACATCAGCCCTTGTACTTTAATTCTGAAACCTAGAAAAAATATATGTCCGCTTTCTTAAAAAAGAAATTTACCATTTTTTACTTCCCCCGGTTCGTTCTCCTCTAAGTGATATTTTTATAATTGTTGGTCATTACGGGGCCATTTGTTCTGTAGTGCATCTACCACTACAAAAACACAATTCCAATTCACTAGTATTTAAGACATGTTAACTAGATACTATGTTGGGGTACCTTTTCATAGATGAAGGTTGACATTGTCGATAACTACTATCCCCACATTGGTGACTCGGACGTGATGAAAAACCTCTTACCTTGACAGAAACTACCACTTCGATTTGAACACGCCTATTAAGATTAATTGCTCGCATTAAACAATTAATTTGTTATTTGTGACTGCGACGTTGTCCACCTCCTAGCGCTGTTGCTACTCAGTCTCTATCACACACACCGTCGGCCTTTATACACTCGATTGCTAATGGAAACACAAGAGCGACCACGAACGTAAACTTAATACAGCTCTCACGATCAGTATCCAAAACTACGGTGATCTTAAAACACCTCTACCAGGTTCTCACAAAAAAGCAATGAATCAACCTGTGGCAGCCCGTTCATCGAATTCCATCGCAGATAAAATTCTGGTGAGGGAGTACTGTAGTGTATCTACCACAACAAAAATACATTTCCAATTCACTAGTATATAAGACATGTTTACTCTATATAATGTTGGGGTACCTTTTCATAGATGAAGATTGACTTTGTCGATAACTACTATCCCACAGTTCTATATAAAGTGATTTTTTTGAACTTCCATTAAAGACTAAAAATTGAACTTACCGCAATATGGCGCAGTATCGGATGTAAGGAGATAATACTTTGTTCCATTGGCGTAATTTCTTTCCATGTCAGCATGATAGCCCATAATAGCACAATTTTCGTCATCCACACCACAGAAATCACATTTACCATTGGAGAAGGATTCCCAGTCTGAGCACTTATAACCAATCATCTGACAGTGATGTTCGTTAATTGAGTGAGTAAATAAATGTGACGCCTTCATGTGGCTGCAAATCATATTTCGAACGCCTAGAATTAAAATAAGAGTTCAAATTTCATCTGCTTTGACATTTGATTAATGACTTTTTGCACCATAATATCGTTCAAATTTGTGGTAACCTTAATGTTGTGAGGACTTAAATCATGCAACCATACCTCTTTAATTTTATTGCATGATACGTTCAATTTAAACGAAATTTTTTTTCTTAAGGTTCCGTCAATTTGACAGTTAAGGTTTCCTCAAATTTGCACCGTTTTCTGGTTTACAGTAATAGTTCTACATTGAACTGATTCTTTAAGGTTGTTCTGAATGTTAATAAACTTAGGAGGGAAAATGTCTGGTAGAAATATTTAAAACTCCATACTTTTTTTTAAACATAGAGATATATTTGAGTAGTGATATTGAATTGACATAGTGATTATACACTTTCAAACTCTTTATTTGAAATGTTTAAAACATGTTACTTAAGACATATGCTAAGCTTATGTAAAAAAGATTTCACGCAACCATGAAGTAAAACATTCAAGAACAAAGAAAAAACGTACATTGGAAATTAATTTAAAGCCAAAAAGATAGATTATTATGAGTGATCATCAGTGATGATGATGAATAATCATGAGTGATAAAATTTATTATAAGTAATTACTTAATAATACCTAAATTTATATTAAATTTACTAACATTATTAATTACTGACACAATATTAGAAAAATTGGTTCAAATATGGTATAATATCAATATGGTATAATATTGGTATAATATCAATAGCTTGAACCATAATAAGTTACAAATTTGCTGCAACTTTAAGATTTGAAATCGAACTGTATGATCAGTAAGATACAAATTTGCTGTAACTTTCATAAGGTGTAAAATAAAACAATGTTTCTGTGCTACTTGAACCATAATATGGCACAAATTTGCTGATACTTTCATAAGATTTGAAATCAAACTGTGTGATCGTTGAACTACAGTAAGATACAAATTTGCTGCAACTTTCATGAGGAGTAAAATTAAACAGTGTTTATGTGCTACTTGAAGCATAATATAGCACAAATTTTCAGATACTTTTCTAAGATTTTAAATTAAACCATGTTTCCGTACAAGTTGAAACATAATATCTTGTCAACTAATTTCATAAAAATTAACTGGGCATTTCATTTAGATAAAGCGCATTATTTTTGATTCATATGATCTAACTTTTCGAACAGTGTACTCTTTCACATTTTTATAAACTATTTTTGTACTTTTTCTCTCATTGTTTTTAACATCTTTATGCTAGGTGGCGTAGCGAAATTTTCTCAGGTTAAAAAATAACCTCAGGATAAACATGCTTTCAATCAGATTAAATAAACGCTCTGTTGAGCATTAAGTTATGATGTTGTGTATTTATTTAAAGCTTCTAAAAATCTTTCACTTAAATTGTTAAAAGGCATCCATTTATTCAATTTATTTCGAATTAGTTTCTGTTTTTACTTGTAAACAGGTAATATTAACAACCCCGTATCATTTATTAAATTAGACTTATAAATATTCAAAAAATGTTCCGAAGAAAATTTATATGCAATTTAGATAAAGTTATTCATCTTTCGCTTCAATGCTCAGGCATTACCTATTTCTTATTTATCAATATAAATGCATTCAATTTATTTCTTACTTATGTTTACATTAAATATGGTATATTTAAAAAACATTAAGCTAAACAATTTTAAAACAAAATATTTCATGATTTACGAACTTAAAATAAAGTTTTAAAAATTGAAACTTATTTTAAAAATTTTACCAAAAGCCTTCAATTTTTTAAAAGTTATAACTTAAGTTTGAAAGTACGGAATTGTATACATAAATAAGTACATTTTTCAAGAAGGGAAAAGGAAAAAAAAAACTGTCATTATTGGATGATTTCATTTGTAATCTTCAAATTTCTATAATGTAATATACATTAAAAACAAAGTTTATCTTTTGCTAAGTTTTTTCTAAAGTACTTTCGTTGAATCACATTGTAGGAAATAGCTAGCAAGCATAATAAATTCGTATTTCTAAAGCTTATCTTTTAGTATTAAATGTCTGCAAAGTACTTATTTGTATTACCTGATGATGCGCTTCAACTTCGTAATTCATTTCCCCCCATATCTCTTACTGTTTTTGAGAAAGGAACGGAAAAGACCACCAGATGCACTGTATACGGTTTCATTTTGTAACCCATGGCCATTTTATTTTACATTGCCACCACGCTTATAACTTTAGATTAAAACTTAGTTTATAACTTTTATCGGGATTTTATAAGTATACAAATTATTAATATAAAAATTAAATAATGCAATATACAAATTATTAATTTTTCGTCATTGGGCTACTAGTGACTTTGCGTTATTTGAGTTTGGCGATTGTGAAATGATGAATTTTCAGGTGGACTGATATGTGTTAAGGGAATAGCAAACGTTGTGACAATTATCGTGTGGGTCATAATATGGCTCAAATTTGCCGCAACCTTATCAGTATGTTCAACTCTGTTTCGGTTCAAGTTGAACCATATTCACGTGTAATCAAATAAAGGCCTGCTTAATTTGCACGATATGGTTGATATTATCCTATTTTATGGTATAGTTAATTTTTACATGGTTAAATTAAACTGTTTTTCTGTTCAAGTTGAACCATAATAGCGTGTAACCAAATATATAATGGTTTAATTTGTACAATAATGTCCTTCAATTTGACACCTTTTAAAGCTGTAGCAAATTTTTACGTAGTTAAACTATGTTTCAGTTCAAGTTGAAGCATGGTAGTATGCAATCAAATTCAGGATTATTTAACTTGCCTGATTACATGGTTCATTCAGGCACCTTATAAAGTTATAGCAAATTTCCGCGAGATTTTTATATAAACCTTTCAGAACAGTGACTGCGCGATTCTTTCTTCATAGTAAACTGTGTCATATTAAACTTGCCTTTCTTACACTAGCGGCCCAAGGTAACACAGATGTGATCTCAATATGGTACTTCCATATTATATCTAGTATTAGTAGGTCGCTACTCTTTATGTGGACACTCTTGATCTAGAGGCTCTTTACCTAGAGACTCGTTGCGTGGAAACTCGTTGCGTGGAAACTCGTTGCGTGGAAACTCGTTGCGTGGAAACTCCTTGCGTGGAAACTCCTTGCGTGGAAACTCCTTGCGTGGAAACTCCTTGCGTGGGTGCTTTTCACGTGGGTGCTCTTCCCGTGGGTGCTCTTTACGTACATATAAATATAGAGAATGCGTTTTTGGAGAAACACTTCTTTCTTCTGCAAGTCCTGAAAGTGTTAATATTCTCCGACATTTCTAACAGAGTATGGAAAAAAGCAGTTAGGATAAGAAATAGTTAAAATATTAATCTAAACGAAGTACCTTCGACAATTCCAAATTCTAGAAGAGCTTTCAAAGAATTCGAAGCTGTGCAACCGGGCTGTATTTCGCCACCATTCGGATAAAAATCCACGTGACCCAATGACTCCTCCATTCCAATACCTTTCAGAAAGAGAAAAAAAAGTATTTTAGAAGTTATCATTTATAACGGCTCAAGAAAATTTAAATTTTTTTCAGCATACCCCCAGCATCGGTGTGAATAACATCCACGAAATGGGCATCAGAAGGATCTAGTTTCTCTCGCGGTGGTAAATCCTTGAATAAATAGGTTGCAGGATCCAGTCCTGTTTAAACAAAATGTATACATATAAATGAATAATTTTTTTAATAGCACCAAACAAGTAACAGAGCTTTTTGAATACATAAATGTGTAATTGAACAGTGGTAAACAGGTTGCACGGCAGAGCGCCAATAAAAAAAAATTATATAAATAATTAAACTGTGCTAAATAAATTGCAGGATTCAGCATTATTAAATAACTGAATAAATAATTAAGCAGTATTTAGCAGATTAACGGAATTGACTTTGTTAAAAAAACATGACTAATCGATTAGTGTTAAATAGCGCTGCAAGTCTTATTTCTTATCTTATTTTTAAAAAAAGTTATAAAAATAGTAGGTTAGAAGAACTACCTCGATTCTATAAACAATTCAGCAATGCTAAACAAGCAGGGGTATTCTTGTAAAAAATAAAAGAATCGTTCAAAAAAGCTAAATGTCAAAGTTACAGGACCCAGTTCAGCTTAAAAAATGTGCAGAAATAATTAAGCAGTGTCAAACAAATTTTAGGTTCCAAATCGGTCACAAAATAAAATAAAACTGTACAAAGCGAAGTTGCAGAATCCGAACCTGCTAAAAATACACAACTGTTTAAAACAGGCTTCAAGATTCTTGTATAAATAATAAATTAAAATTAATAAATACTTCAGTTCCGGCTCATGCTGAAAGTATATAAAGAGCTCATTTTTAATTTTATAGTACAGTGCGCAAGAAAAAACGAATAACCCTGAATAACTTTTGATCTAATGATTTGAGCTTGACGTATTTAGACTCAATCATAAGGTGATGATTTCATATATGCTAATTAATTAGAGTAGGCGATATTTTAATTTACGAAATTTGCACTTTAACAAATTATTGTGGTTTTGAATTGTTAGGTACTCAAATGTTTACATCGTTTTAAAGAATATAATTTTACATGTTAAAATACAATATTTAAACGATTTTAAAAATTTGCGAAAATTGAAAGAAATGCGAAAATAGAATACTGTTATCTTATAGTTAAAAAAATAATTTTGTAGTAACTAATATCATAATCTTAGAACTAGTGAAATAATGATATTTGATAATTCAAATCATTACCTGTTATTCTTTTTAAACCTTTTATTCTTTCTCCAACATAACCTGCAACGTGGGATCCAAGACTATGACCAATTAAATGAAACTGGCTTGGCTTAGCTCCGAAATTATTCTAACGTAAAATAAAAACTGCTTTACTATTTTTATTAAAATATTATGGGAATTATAATTTTTAAGTGTGTACATTTTGATAGAAAAACGTAAGGTTAATGAAGGTTTCGCTATGCAAACTATAAAAACCTTTTTAAAATCGGTTTTAAGAGCTTTAAAAATACGAATTATCTACAAAAAAAAATTATCGAAATCGAATAATGAGCATTTTTCCTTTTCTGTCATCTAAGATAGAAGTTCGTTAGCTGTCTGCAATAAAATTCTCTTGAAAAAAAAATTTAATCTAAATTGAAAGATAGAAAACGATTTTAAAATGCGCATGTAATCGTTTGCTGTAGATAGTTTATTATCGCACTTTCACATACAAAGAATAATTTATCTTCATGAACTTAATTTGTGAGTTAATAACTATTTTAAATACATACTTCTTGTCAAAACGAGTTTCCTCTAGCAAACTAGTGGACGCTGGCGTGTCTTATTTTAAGGTATAAATTGTCATTTTGAACAGTTTATTACTTTATCTAAATTAAAAAATTTGTTTTTATAGATCGAAAAGATTTATATTTATAGATCGAATTTAAATTAAAAGTTAGAAAACGATTTTGGAATATGTATGTAATCAATTGCTCAAAATTTTTTTTAATTCTTGCGTCAAATACAAAATTAATTTCTGTTTCTATAAACACAATTTATCTATTTATCTGACCAAAACAATTTTAAAAACTAATTTCTTTTTAATCAAAACTGCTTTCTGGTCAACACGTATAAATCAGTGTGTCATATTAAGGTAAAACTAGTCATTTTAAACAGTTTATTACTTTAGTTATTTAATTTAAAAGTTAGAATCAAAATCGAAAGTTAGAAAAGGATTTCAAAATGCTTACGTAATCGTTTGCTGAGAAACGCTTATTATCATCGCTTTCAAATGCAGGAATAATTTATGCTTATATAACAATGTAATATTAAAAACAATTTTAAAAAATTAGTTTTTTTGTCGTCAAAACTGATTTATGTCAGGCAACAAGTAGAAATCGGTATGTTGTAGATGGAAATTCCACAGTGTTTTCGATTTTGGAATAGTTTTGCTTTTAAACTATTCCATAATAAAATAGAACACTGTATGTATTTATATTTTCGACAGTATTAAAATAAAAATAAGTGATACAAGAAATTTAAAAAAGAACAAATAGTTCAAGTTTTTTTATAGTTACAAATGTCAGACGAATTGCCCTTATATTAAACGACAAGATATTTTTAATTAAGTCTGGTCCTCGTTTTTTGTATTTTTACACTGTCAATTGTTAAATGTGCATAAACGCATTTGCTCTTGTAGCATTTACATCATCAGTAGTTTATAAAATATCTTAGGTATGCGGATGACAGGTATTATACCCTTAATCACGTGGCCACCAAGATTCCCGAACCTAACACATTAGGATTTCTTCCTTATGGGGTTGATTTCCGAAGACACTGTTTAGGAACTACCAAAACCGAAAAGAACTTAATTTTGTTTTTCGAATGCTCTGGGCGTTACATGAAGTAACGCTATTTTACAAAAATGCTATTTTCCTAATTTCCGCATTTTAGCAATTCATAACTATTACGATAACTATTACGACCAGTGATTTCTATGCTAATTCTAAAAATGGTACAAAACGTCCACACGAAGAATTATTTAATTTTATTTTTTTTATAATATTTAAATGTTATTCCAACTCTGTCCAACTCCTCCTCAAAAAATTTTCCATAAATAATAATTAGGCATTAATTTGGATAATTTTCATCTAAGAAAAATATTGAAAAATTGGTGATTTGTAAAAAAATTGAATAACTTTCAAAATATTTCGAATTATTTCTGTCTTATAGCCAAGCTTTTTAACAAGTTGTTGAATTATATAGTTTAAAAGTATAACTTTGCATCAAAAGTAAAGCAATGAACCTTTTTTCTTTATTTTCTTGGCGATAGAGTTTTAAAAAACAGGGCTAAATTGGGCCGCATTAGGAAAAATTGGAAGTTTACAAAAACTTTTAAATTTACAAAAACCTTTAAATTTAACTTTCAGTGTTAAACTTTTTTTAAACTGAAAGTTAACATCAAACTAAAAGTTAAATTTAAGAGCTTGTCATAGAGCAAAAAAACCAACAAAAAAAATTGGTGCATGTTTTTTTTTCTTTTAATTCCCGGTGTCTATTATAATATTACTGTGTAATTGAAAAAAAACAACGAAAATGCTTTACGATCGATTCCGAGAAAATTGGGTTGACAATTTTTCTCCTTCTATTGCTAATGCTATGAACTCTAAAACAGAATTTCAAAACACTAATAAAACAAGATTATTTTTTTAAAAAAATTTTTTTGCAATGATATATGAAAAATATGAAAATATCAATTTTGAATTTTTTTGCCTTTTATGTTGATTTTTCAATTGCTCGGCAGAATAAGTGTAATAGTTTCGAGGACAAATCTTTCAAATATGATCACTTATTTCTTCTAACCGTGTATATTAAGGGTGATTATATTATTTATACTCACAATTAATATATTCAATAGCTGTGATATTTCATTTCCAGTTTGTGCCGTATTTGCAGCAGCTTGAGTATAAGGTAGAAAATTCCCAACGCTCCAATCCACTAGAATCACGTTAAAATCATCGAGCATCAAAAACTCGTCTTTCATGTGCTGGAAAAAAAATAATGTAATTAGATACGTTTTTAAGAAGATTTAATCTTACGAGTCAGGCATTTCCATAGAAGTTGAATCTACAGCTTAAAAAATTATCAAAATTATCGATTATCATCTAAAATTATCAACTTAAAAGGCAGGCAATCAAGAACTTTTTTATAATATAACTTGTTAAAAAGAGTAGAGTCAAATAAAAAATCTGAATAACATGATTTCTACTCATTTAATGTCAATCTTTATGATTTGAAAGATTGATCTTAAGGAAGATAATTAGGTTAATTTTTAAGTTACGAAATCTTCATTCAAAAACGCCTCTTTCATGTGCTGAAAAAAAAAATAATGTAATTACATACGTTTTTAAGAAGATTTAATCTTATGAGCCAGTCATTTCCATGGACGTTAAATCTAAAACTTAAAAAATTATCAACTTAAAGACAGATAATCAAAACCTTTTTTAATATAGATTGCTAAAAAGATGTAAGTTGAGTAAAAAAAAATCTGAATAACATCTGTTCTATTTATAGGATTTCTACGCATTAAATGTCAATCTTTATGGTTTGAAAGGTTGACCTTAAGCAGTCTAATTATTTAGGTTAATTTTTAAGTTACGAAATCTTCGAGCATCAAAAACTAGTCTATCATGAGTTCAATTTTTTTTTTTAATTACATACGTTTTTAAGAGGATTTAATCTTATGAGCCAGTCATTTCCATAGACGTTAAATCTAATGCTTAAAAAATTATCGAAATTAACATCTAAAATTATCAACTTGAAGACAGGTAATCAAGAACAATTTAATATTATAGATTGTTGAAAAAGATGTAAGTTGAGCTAAAAACAAAATCTGAATAACATCTGTTCTAATGATTGGATTTCTATGCATTAAATGTCAATCTTTATGGTTTGAAAGGTCTCTAAATCAATAATTTTTTTTTACGAATTCTGATTTCTCGATTATCGAAAATTGAAGGTGCGCATAATCTGAAAGATGTGATTCCAATGATTTGGCCAGGAATCGACCCCCTATACATTTATTTTATTTCACCATAGTTTGAGAACTTTTAAACGAATCGAAAAACTTGTGTCCATAAACTTGAGTCCACACTTGTGTCCAGAAAAACTTGTGTCAAAGATTATTCCATTCCAAAAAAAATTTTTTCTTTATTTATTAGTTGTATTAGTTGAAAAAGTCCTGAACTTAAGGATATTCGAATTTTAAAGAGAAAAGTAAAAAAAAATTAACAAAATTTCAGAAGAGTAGTTTTTAAAATATAAAATATAACAAAACCCTTTTTTCTTAAATCATGATTAAACTATTGGTATCTTTTCTTCCAGATTGTAGAAACACCCTTTTACTTTCATATTTTATTTTATAAACGTCATTGAACACTCAACTCAATTTGACCAATGTTCAACTCCGTAGCCTTGTAATTTTGAAACCAACCCAGAAGACAAAAGAACTCCTGGATAAAGTATTGGGAGAAATTTGCCATCATGGAGGACTTTTTTGATGGAATTAACCATGGAACTAACTATTTTTGTTTCATGGGGAGGAAAACCACGAAAACCTCTTATGGTTAGCCCGACGACAACTGGACTCTAATCTATGATCCGTCTACCACAGAGCATATTTTACATCAGCACTGTGATCAGAGCTAGCTGGGTGTGGAATTCGTATCGACCTGCCATTGCTGGGAATTGAACCCGGATCATATCATTAGACGGTGACCGGTATTTATTCTCTAAGTTTCTATATATTACAATTTTATATCCGTCGTTGAACAGCCGGCCCGATTTTGGGTTTACGACAACTAATGTTTAGCTGCGCAGCCTTGTAATTTTGAACGAATCCAGAAGACAAGGAAACTCCCGGATCAGTCACCCCCAGAGGTTTGATTTGTTATGGGAACATGGGGGACTTTGTGACTCGTCTGATTTAACATGCACCATTCACTACTTGGACATGGGCCAGTGCCCTGCCAACCAAGCTATTACGGCCTTCTACGTCTCTATAGTCAAAAATTCAAATCTGTCAGAAACAAGCTATATTCTTAGAAAATACGTTTTCGTTTCTTATTTCTCAACAGCGTATTTAAAATCAACCCTATGAACCATTAAGATTTGCGCTTAATACGTGAAAATCTAAGCATTTGAATTGAAATTATTCGATGATTTTTTTTTTAATATTTTTTTTTATAATTTGTGCAATAATAGGTTGATCTATAGAGATCTATAATATGATTGATACTCACGTGCATCCATTTGGCGATTCTTATTTTGTCTAAAAATCCGTGAATGATGACTTTCGTCTCGAGACGAGGATTGAAATACCGCAATGATCGCAGATCACTCATATCTAGTTTTTTCCCTTGCGTTCTAAAATCTGGAGTATACAAATCAAAATTGGAGAATTTTCGACTTGATTTATGCTTACTGGGAGGTAAATTCTCTGAAAAGAAAGTAAATACTCATGCATTATGAAACGTATTTTTTTTTTAAAAAAAAAAGTCTTTGCACTCTGAATAACATTTGATTAAAGAAGTGAATTTTATAGAACACATGCATTCTTCAAGGTTTAATAGGATTACTTGAAATGTACTTGTTAAGCCCTTTTTTTCGCTTTGATCAAAGTGACTAGGCGAAGTTTCGGCCTCTATTTATCGTGCCCCTGATATTTCCGGGATGGAGAGTTCAAAAGTAACTTGCCAAAACTATTAAAACAGTGTATTTTTTATGCCCGGAATCAAGTTTATTTTTGAATCCATACACCAGATGGCAGAACCAGACTAGTTGTAATGTGTTTGGAGATATTTTATTTTAAACTAGATGTCAAGCTCTTATCAAATATGTGATCTAAAAATGAGCCTAAAAATTAAAAATGATTAAATATTTTGTGCATACACTTAGTTTTATCTAACTTTCCGGAATGAAAAAAATATTAAGAAAGTTTCCTGCAAAACCATGCAACCATTAAAGGGTTAATCAAATCAATCTAGACGGAATTTTAAGATAAAAAAATGTGACTTAACCTTCTTTGTTTTCAATGGTTTCTGATTTTTGATCTACAGTATAAGATAGTGCAGAGAGAGGTAGATCTATCCTATGTTTTAAAACACAAATCTTGAAAAGAATGCAGATCATTCTAGAAGATATCAGGAACATCACAATAAATTTATTAAAAAAATACTTTTTAAAAACTAACGTAATTTTTCTGATAAAAGTAAAAATGTCAATTACGTCATATAAATAAAAATAACTTTATTGACATAAAAACTTGTTTAACATGAATCTCACGTTTGAACAGAATATAGAGTTAGATGCTTCAAGAGTGAGAAGTAAGCTATACGCCAAACTCAAACGTAATAACGTTCTTGCAATAACGAGTTAATCGGTGTTATAAACTAAGTCTGGTACATAACCAAAACAAAATCTAAGGAGGAAATTTCACTGGCTTGATTTGGAATTTTTATGCATGGGAACAAGATGTTTATCACCGCTTTCATATATCTGTATAAATTAGTTCGGTGAATAATTTCGGTAATTCTTAATTTATTCATTTAAAAATTTATGGTGTATAAATACTCGATTTAATATTTAAAGCAAATAGTTACTTCATAATGTATTTTATTGATTGGTTAAATATCTGAACAAATACCAAAGTAATTTTGTAAACTAGATAAATATTTTAAAAAAAAAAAAATCCTTTAGCAATTTTACTAATAAATTATTTTAAAGTATTAATTTTAAGCCCCTTGTTAAACGTGTACATTCTTAAACACGCAAGTATGTGCTATCATGCATACACGGAATGTTTGTAATCATCATAATAGATATACACTTTTAGAATTCTTTTTTAAAAAAGTCAGCGATCATAAATTAATATTTAACCGACAGTAAAAAAACGTCATTGAAATCTTTTAAATTAATATGGAGATTAGTATTAAAAACATAAAAACTTGTTTGATTGCAGGTAATGTGACAGACGTCTATTTACAACACTTTCGAGTTTCATCTGAAAATCAAACTTTTAAGTCAACAATCCGTAATGGGAATATTTCTGAAATTTCTGTATTCAAGTATTTTGAAAATACATATTAAGGATGGAAGTTACTGATATAAATAAAATATTAATTATGTAAGTACTATATTAATTTCACAAATGCTACATTAACCATACAAATAACATGTATAACCTCTTAAACACATAACTTTTTAAATAATATCAATCAATCATCTTTATTTATAAAATTCATAAAAATGCTCTATCGGTCCCCAAACTCGTTTATTATATAATTGGTGCCATTTGTTCTCAAGTTCATTCAAAAAGCTTCATAAGATTTCATGGCAATATTTCCTTTTTCTCAAATTGAGACAAATAAATTTTTTTAATAATCATGAATTATCGGGAAAAATACATTGCTTAAAATCTTGGAGCCCATTAAATTATAATATTTATAAATTTTTCTGCAATATCAATATAACATGAACCATAGTATTGCTATTCTTAAACTTTTTTATTGACAATGTAACTTCAACTTGAGAAAAATAGGGTTCAATTGAATACCTTCAATTTAAATTCCCGAGTAACACTCGTTGTAATGGAAATCACAAACTGCAATAAAAACCAAATCATCTCACCTTTGTCGCGTTTTGTAGCAGTTTTTTCAAGAGTTCGAAGTCCATTTAAAACCGGTTGGGTTATACCATCCATATCAGAAGCCAGGAACCTCTCCAATAAAAGTAGGCACAGTATCGCTATAGCTGTCATATTAAAACGCATACTAATGGATAGTAAAGTTCCAACAGTACATCGAGAACTAATATTAAGCTGGATATAATGTTCAACAGCACTTAAAATGCATTAAAAATTTCGATAAATTTCACAAAGTTCCGTACTCGATGAAGGTAAAAGTTCTGAATTGAATTTCAAAGTGTAGAAAACGCAGTTTCCGGTTGCCTATTTTTGCAAAATTAGCCTGGAAGGAGGACTTGAATGACAGCAGGCTCTCCAGAGCCAAAACGCTGTCTCCCCGATTCGCCAATAGCGTTGAAATGGCAGTTTGAATCCCACCGTAGACCTAGACGTGTCTTCTCTTACTTGTGTTGTATGTTCTTCAACTTGACATGCACTTATAAGTCATCTTTGTAATGTGCAAGCGAAACTTCATATATAAGTGTAATTATGAAGAAATAAATAAAAAGCTCAGGTGCGGTAATGTCTAAGGTTTGAGAATGGTTCAGAGATGGTTGTAATTTCAACTTGCTAAGCCGTGAAAATTTGTCAAAACTTACAAGCTAATAACACACTATTGTTTGATCGAATAAAGTATGAAAATGTAGCAAGTTAATGAAAAAAGTTAAAGCTTGTATGGTGGTAGAGAAGGTTGCATGTTCATAACCCGAATTCACTGAAAAGCATTAGTACTTTTTAGAGAAAAGTTTATCAGGCAGCAGCTGACCACTTTTTTTTTAAAAAAAAATCGTTTTTACTAGTATTTCTAAGGCCTTTTTTTGGAGGAGGAATACAATTAATTCCTCAACTATGGAGACAGCGCATTAGCAGTTCCTTAAATTGAGCACTCTGACATGCTAAATTGCACAGTCTGAACATGTAGGTACTTTTAGGTGCTTTTAGTTCCGTCGAAGACATGCCATCGGAATTATGTAAGGCCACTTTCTCAATTTAGACATAATTCGAAGTAAGAAGTAGAACTTCTTCAGACCCCTGTACTCATGGTACTGCCCAGTGAGCAGTATATCGTATATCTAGAATTAAACCCCGTCCCCTCTGGACCAGAGTTCGATTTTCCAGCCATTGGGCAACTACGCCCTAAACCTATGAATGTAGCTCATTTAAATCTCGCCATTACCCTGGATCTAAATTGGTGTTTTTTTTTCAACTGAACAAGAATTTCTAAAAAGTTTCTTGAATTAAACACTTAAGGCTGCATATATGTGTGTACGGAAAAATAAGTCAAGATCTAGATGGCCCGTTAACAAATTTTTCGGATTGTCTTTCATAAGATCAGGAACCGAAGTTACTAAAGACATCAGCGCAAGCAAGCTAATACCATACCAGGATGCCGTTATGGCTCAGCAGGGGATAGAGCATTTGCCTCCCTATGGGTTGCATCCCTGCGATGGCTGGGCGCTATAAACTATGCTACCGACATGCATCAACCACAGTGCTAAAGTAAAATATCCCCAGAGATAGGTGGAGTATGAGTTAAAGTCTCCTTGCTGTCAGGTTAATCATAAGTTTTACGGTTTTCCTCTCCATGAAACGCAAATGCGGGTGAATTCCATCAAAAAGTCCTCCACGAAAGCTTGATACAAGAGTTTAATTTTACCTTATTTCGTAACCGTAGTTGAACAGCCGACTCAATTTTGCGCTTATGACTACCAATGTTCAACTCCGTAACCTTGTAATTTTGAACCCAATCCGGAAGACAAGGGAATTCCTGGATCAAGTATTGGGAGAAATATGCCTTCGTGGAGGACTTTTTTTGATGTAACTAACCCGCATTTGCGTTACATGGAGAGGAAAACTACGGAAACCTTCCATGGTTAGCTCCTGACAACGAGGGGACTCTAACCCATGATCCGTCGACAGCAGAGGATATTTTTCGTCATCACGGTGTTCGGTGCAAGCCGGATGCGTAATTCGTATTGACCAGTCATTGCAGGGAATCGAACCCGGTTCACCTCGTTGAAGGGTGAACGCTCTATCCCCTGAGCCATCACGGAATAATTGTTTAATAGCCTTTAGGGTAGGGTTCAAAATTACAAGGCTAAGGATTTTAGCATGGATAGTTGTAAGCTCAGAATTGGGTTGACCAATCAGAGCCGGTTATAAGAAGATACCTCTCCATTACTTAATTAAAATAGAGTGATGAAACAAGAAAGTTGAAAAAAGGACAAGAAAACTAATCTCTCCTTTGGCCATACCACCAAACACTTCTTAATTTGGAGATAGAGGGTTCGAATCCCACCACAAACCTGGATGTGTCTTTGCGATATCTTTTTCTAACGTATTCTATCTATTCTTCAACTTGAAATTGTCTTATGCGCCGTACAGCACACAAGCTGCACATGCTTAAGTAACAAGTCCCGCAGTGGACTGATCGTTAAGACACGGCTCCCAGCAGATCACCGAAGTCAAGCATCACTGGTTGCGGTCAGTGTGCGGGTGGGTGACCACTTGGATTAGTCTGCTTAGGGACCGAGGGTGTGTGGTATTGGTCCTCGTTAAACTGTTCTACCGTAAAGTGCTCGACTTCGCGTGCAGGTCGTCGGGCTACCGAAGCGGGGGCGTCATCCCCTCTGCAGATTATCAAAAATTGTGATGGCATGTCTTCGGATCATCCTCAGGGATGCTTCCCAGGCCGTCGCCAATAGCCCATTGTGCAGTTCTAGTGTGACGTAAAGGAACTACAACAACAACAGCATAAGTAACAATCTAGCTACAGCAAACATTCGGATTGACGGGCTTATTGGTACGGAGCAGTGTGCTGCATGGTTTAGTGCAAAAGTAACAATAAGTCGAACTGGAATTGCAAGAAGCAGTTAGAGCGATGGAGTACCAAAAAATGTCCGAAGAACTTTCGAGAACATTACTTATTAAGGAATATTTTTCGCAGGAATATTTTTCGCAATTATATTTGTTGTTGTTGTTAATTTACGTCGCACTGTAGCTGCACAATGGACAATTGGCGACGGTCTGGGAAACATCCCTGAGGATGATCCGAAGACATGCCATCACAATTTTTGATCCTCTGCAGAGGGGATGACACCCCCGCTTCGTTGAATTTCCAGGACNTGGAGGGTGAACGCTCTATCCCCTGAGCCATCACGGCATAATTGTTTAATAGTCTTTAGGGTAGGGTTCAAAATTACAAGGCTAAGGATTTTAGCATGGATAGTTGTAAACTCAGAATTGGGTTGACCAATCAAAGCCGGTTATAAGAAGATACCTCTCCATTACTTAATTAAAATAGAGTAATGAAACAAGAAAGTTGAAAAAATGACAAAAAAAACTAATCTCTCCTTTGGCCATACCACCAAACACTTCTTAATTTGGAGATAGCAGGTTCGAATCCCACCACAAACCTGGATGTGTCTTTGCTATATGTTTTTCGAACGTATTCTATCTATTCTTCGACTTGAAAATGTCTTATGCGCTGTACAGCACACAAGCTGCACGTGCATAAGTAACAAGTCCCGCAGTGGACTGATCGTTAAGACACGGTTCCCAGCAGATCACCGAAGTCAAGCATCACTGGTTGCGGTCAGTGTGCGGGTGGCTGACCACTTGGATCAGTCTGCTTAGGGACCGAGGGTGTGCGGTATTGGTCCTCGTTAAACTGTTCTACCGTAAAGTGCTCGACTTCGCGTGCAGGTCATCGGGCTACTGAAGCGGGGGTGCCATCCCCTCTGCAGAGGATCAAAATTGTCATGGCATGTCTTCGGATCATCCTCAGGGATGCTTCCCAGGCCGTCGCCAATAGCCCATTGTGAAGCTCTAGTGCGACGTAAAGGAACTACAACAGCAACAGCATAAGTAACAATCTAGCTACAGCAAACATTCGAATTGACGGGCTTATTGGTACGGAGCTGTGTGCTGCATGGTTTAGTGCAAAAGTAACAATAAGTCAAACTGGAATGGCGAAAAACAGTTAGAGCGATGGAGTACCCCAAAATGTCCGAAGAACTTTTGAGAACATTACTTATTAAGGAATATTTTTCGCAATTATATTTGTTGTTGTTGTTAATTTACGTCGCACTGTAGCTGCACAATGGGCAATTGGCGACGGTCTGGGAAACATCCGTGAGGATGATCCGAAGACATGCCATCACAATTTTTGATAATCTGCAGAGGGGATGACACCCCCGCTTCGGTAGCCCGACGACCTGCACGCGAAGCAATTATATTTATAATTGTAAGCAGAAAATTTTCGAGCCTAGACAAAGTTAAAACCTCATCACATTTGTTAAGTTCATTTCCTTATTATTTTTATATAATGGTAGTCAAAAATAATAAATCGATAATTCAATCATGAATTATGATTTTAATATAGAAATAAAATCTTCTGGGAAAACTGAAAGAAGTGCCAGCTATACTAGCGCTTTTGACTTTCTTATAGTATGACGGAGACTGAAAAGCCAGGGGGGGAGGAATAAAAATTAAGATCTCAGACAACCGGTTCATACAAAAGGTTCATACTTTTATGCCTTAGAGCTTATTACAAACTGGAAGGTTTTAGAACAAACTGGTATTGGACTAGGACTCCCGGTGGCTGACTAGTAGCACTCAGGGCTCCCGTGCCACAGTTCCTGGGTTCGATCCTCGGGCCAGGTAAGGTTGACGCAGCTTTTCATCGCTTCAGTGGGTCGATAAATGAGTACCAAGCATGCTTGGGAACTAAACACTGGGGGTTCCGCATTCGACTGACTGACCAACTATCCGAAACATCTGGTCCTGCAGCCCAGAGCCCAAGGTCAAAAAAACTGAGATGGGCACAGTAGACCTTGGCCATGGACGGATCGTGAATTTGTGGGGCCCTGGGCTGAAACTACTTAGAGGCCCTAATAGCCATTTTGTCAAAAAACTGTTTTCTATAGTGATGTAGATAAGTATATAGAAAAAATAGGACAATAAAATAATTTAATTTATTTTTTATTTATTTATTTTTATTTGTCTATACAAACAGCAACTGCACAACATTATTGCAAAAGAAATTAACAGGTTATGTGTAGTTATGTTACATAAATTATAAAGCAACCTTTCTGAATTTTTGTGCTGCAAATTCCTTTATTTGCTCATCACATTGTAAGTTCTTCGCTAAATCACAATTTATGGAAAGAAATAATGATTTAGTCGATGGTTCGACATTGTTGTCCTATATTTGTTTTCTATATATAACATCCTGTAGAAAGAGCGCTCCGCTTCA